CTGCAACCAGCTCTTCCAAAAAACACTCGAGGGACTTGTTTCCAGACTCCAGTTCCCTGTGGCAGTAGTTGGAGGAGCTCACAACCCTGGTCCCTTCAGGCTCTCAGGGGTCCATCCCAGCTCAGTGGTTCTGAGGGCAGTTTTTCTTTGTGTGCCCAGGCTGGTGGCAAATGCTACAGGTCCGTGGTTTCTTGGCAGTGGATCCTGAGGAGAAACTGCCTGGTCTCTTGGCTTTGCTTCCCAACCCTCTTGAGTGTTCACTGCTGCCAAAGTTGTTCCAAGAGACATCTCCAGAAGGGCCTAGAGAGAAACGACTTAAATTTAAGGATCTTTGAAAAATAAGTAGGTGAGAAACAGAAGGTAAGTTCAAAATAGCAGGATTCTCAGATTGTTCCTGAACCTGCACTTGCTTCAGACTTCTTTGAACAGTTAAATGTAACCCATTTATCTTGCAGCATTAGAGACATGTGGGAACAGAACGGGGAAGCTGCTCTGGTCTACAGCTGAAGCAGAAACAAAACATGCCAGAGGAAAACTTGGGGTTTAAGTAGTTTTGAAAACTTGATTCTACCCCTTGAGGCCCACATTTCTAAGGAGGAGGAGAAGGTTAGTGCTGAAGATCCCTCACAGACCACATCTCCCCCTCTGTACTTGGTTGCTGTCCCTTTGTCAGTGCTCTCTCTTTTGCACCCTTATTTTGTGATTATTTTTGTTTTCAGCATCTTCTCACAGCCAGTTTGATCTCTGATCAAAGCTCCAGAATGACTTGGCCTTTCCCTGCACCCCTAAACTAGGGCAGAGGGAGCAGCAGAGTTTCCCTGGCATGCCAGGGTGGGGTTTAAGATCTCCAGAAGTGGTGCCACTGCTTCAACTCCACACCAAGTCGGTCACAGCTCTCACAAAGCTGGGAACTGTAATCTGGGAGGACAAATTCCCAATCAGACTGTTGGAAAGAGTGCTGGGATTTATCCAGTGAGTCATGGACAGACAGATGGCCAAGTTCACTGCACACAGAAGCCAAGCATCCTGCTCAGAGCTCAGATGTGTGTGTGAGGATGCATCCTGCCAGCACTTGGAAAGGTAAGCCAGACTTTGTTGTTAAAAGCAACACTTGCAGTGCTATAAAGCTGCTGACAGATGTTCTGAAGACAAACCTGACGCCTTAAATGTATGAGGTGCCACAAGAGCTGTGCAGCATGAGTATGTGTGAGAGGTGTGTTCAGTTTACAGAATCCCAGAATAGCTGGGGTTGGAAGGGACCTCTGGAGATTATCCAACCCCTCCCTGTCAAGGCAGAGTCACCTAGAGCAGGTGACACAGGGATGTGTCCAGGTGGGTTTGGAATGTCTGCAGAAAGGGAGACCCTCCTTGGGCAGCTGTTCCAGTGCTCTGCCACCCTCAGTGTAAAATCACGTTGAGGTAGAACTTTTTGTGTTTTAGTTTATGGCCATTGCTCCTTGTCCTGTTGCTGGGCACCACCAAAAAAAGTCTGGCACCATCCCCTTGACACCGGCCCTTGAGATATTTATATGCATTAATGAGATCCTCTCTGTCTTCTCCAGACTAATCAGGCCCAGCTCCCGTGGTCTCTCCTCATCAGAGAGCCGATCTAGACCCCTCATCATTTTCACAGCTTCTGCTGGACTCTCTTCCAGCAGCTCCTCACTCTGTTTGGCTTAAGAACACCCATCCCACCCCAAGCCCGGCCTCACCTGGTGCCACGTTCTCATCTGCCCACTGGAAGAAGCCGCACTGCTGCTCCCGGGGCTTGGGGCAGGTGTGGAACTGCCGGCCCTTGTTGGGCCCGTCCTTGTGCACGGTGCGTGTCACGGCCGGCTGGTCGCACCGGCACACGGCAGCACCGCCAGGCTCGGCGCCGCCGCCGCTCCCCGCCGGCTCCAGGGCTCTCCCTCCTCCCAGGGCCCTCCCCACTGCGGGCTGGGGGAGCGCAGAGCCCCGTGGAGCTGCGGCACCCCCGTCCTCAGCCTGCTCGTCGGCCCACAGGAAGAAGTTGCAGGAGCCGGAGCCGCACTTGTAGAAGCGGCGGCCGCGGTTGGGCCCGTCCTTGCGCACGGTGAGCAGCAGCGCCTCGATGCCGCAGTTACACACCACAGCGTCGCTCCCGTCCTCCGCCGCCGCCGGAGCGGCGTCCCGGGATGTTCTGCTGGAGATCACAGAGAGCAGGTGCCCCCGAGCCGGGTTTGTGGTCCCCCTCCCCTGCCTGTTCTCAGCCCTGTTCAAGGAGTGGTTGGCCTGCAGGTGCTGTGGTGGCTGGGTGGCTGACGACGCGGGCTGGGATGGTCTGTGCAGGTATTTGAGGTCCAAGAGCTCCCTCAGCATCTCATCGCAGCCTCCAATGCAGCCAACGAACTCCAGGGGCATCACGGGCGGGACGCTGCCTCTCTTGAATTTAAACTTCAGTCTACGAGGAAAGGAGGAGTCAAAAGTCTCCCAGTTCATCTCATTCCTCATCAACAGACCTCAATTTAGACTTGAACTTTTACAGATTTTTTTGATTCTGCTATATGAGACCAGTTGACCCAACCTCTCTTTCTTCTTTCCATCCCCAGGCCCTGTGGATTACACACCACGCTTCAGCTTTCCAAGACTCGAATGGAAAATGGTTCCCAGGCTAGCCCATGGAAGTCTGATTACCCTCAGGTAATGCCTGAGGGGCTGTGTTTCCCCCAAGGGATAACTGGTATGACCTACCTGTGAACTGGATGGGGTTTACACACGTCACAGATGCTCTCGTCCCTGGTCACATCCAGCACAAAATCAGGGAACCAGACTGCAGTTTTACAGGCTGGATAGCCCATGCAGCTCAGGTAGAACCTGCCATGGGACAAAGGCAGCAGATGAGGAAGAGACAAAGTCAAGACAGTCAGTGATCTGTTATCCCGTCTTCTCAGCCATCACAAATTGTCAAACCCACAGTTTTTAAGGGCAAATACCTACTTGAGAAGAGGTTCAGCTGAGTCCACACAGCTTATGGAGCTGGTGGAGTCAGTGAGCTGCAGCCAAAGGCTTCCAAGTTTTTACCAAAGGAGCTAAACAAGTGCCTGGGAAAACACAAGCCAGCACAGAAGGTGCTACAAGAGGGGGAGGTCACCAACCCGCCGTTCTTCCTGGTCTTCAGGACCATGTCGTTGTTGCACTGCGGACACTTCCGAACGGAAACGGGCATCGCTGGGTACACCTCATCCTGCTCTGGAATTTCTGCAGCTTCTCCAAAATACTGAGCCAGGGCCTCATCCAACCTGTAAAGAAACAGCAGAGCATCTTGTGTGTCTCTGCAAGGAGCAATCGGGTGCTGCAGTGACTCAGCACCTGCCGCCCCCCACACAGCCCCTCCGAGCTTCTCCGTGAGCGTGTTGATTCAGCACCACATCTCTGGAACGGGGAAGGTGTGGGAACAGCATTGAAGAGGTCAGTGCATGCTGCCATCCCCAAATTTAATCTTAACTGCTCATCTTGGTTTAAACCTTCAGCTGGCACGAGCTCATGACAGCATGCCAGGCTTCGAGTCATCCCTTCCCGTGCAAATGCCTACACACACCGGGCAGAGCTCCAGGGAAACGGTGTGACAGGATCCCCCACTCCAGGCTGAGGCCCAGATGAGCAGCAGCATCTCCCAGAACAGCAAAGCAAAGGGAAGAGGGCAGAGACAGGACTCACTTGTTGGCTCTGGCCACAGCTTCAATGAAGACTTCCTTGTACTTTTGGACCTGCTGCTGCAACACTACAGATTTGTCTTTCTTCCCCTCGCAGATCAGTTTTAGATCAGCCTCCAGCTCAGCCCGAAGGTCAGGCTTGGACATCTCGTAGCCCATGGAATCATAGCCTGAGGAATATATACGGAATGGTAAGCGCAAGGAAGGCGAAAATAAGGAACCTGCCACCTTCCTGGTGGGCGCTGCCCTCACCTTCCACCAGCCCCATGCCCAGGTGGCCGGGCAGGAACCGCTGATCCGCTGTAAGGCCCACGTACATCCGCGTCTTGATCGTCTCGATGTGCTCGGCGTGAGTGGCGTCGGTCCCTGCAAGCAGACAGGGGTCAGTGGGAGCAGGTGCCAAGCAGCTACTTCCTCTGTGCCTGGGGGAGAGTGCAAGGAGCTAAAGGGACAAGGACACAGCTTATGGTGAGCGCTGCCCTCATGACCCACTGGCGCTGGTGGCACACCCTGGACCTGAAATCGCCCGTCTGCCTGGGCACTGGAGGCGCTCTGCAGGCTCTGGAGGGCGTTTGGGCTTTGCCCACAGGTCTCCATATCCCTTTGTTCTGCTTTTTGAAGTGATTTCTTATCTGAAGTGGCATTTAGAGAATTCCCTCTGCCAAGAGTGAGAGGCCGCGCTGCCAATACTGACCAATGCCATGTTTCTCCATGAGAGCAATGAGATCTGCTTCCGTGAGGAGCAATGGAGGGCTGGTTTCCCCATCCACCATCTCCACCGTGGTGGGCTGAAAGCGAGACCCTTTCTGATACACTGGGATGACCTGAAGGAAAGGAGAATCTCTTTGAAACTGCTTCCCGGTCCATTCGCTCAGGACAAAATGCCACACCAACAGCCAGTGCAGTCAGAGAGCAGCAGCCTGTTCTGGAGGGAATCCAGCCTCAGGGGCCTTGGGACCAGCAAGCAATGAGCTGCCAGAGAGACCATGGAACAGCTGCTCTTGGTGGGTAAAGTCAACCCTACAACCTAAATGGTTTCTGCTGCGGTGTGAGAATCTACCCAAAGCTGGAACAATAAACCTGCACAGGCTTCCAGCAGAGAAAGCTCTCGGTGAAAACAACCAGAAATGGTTACAGGATGTTTTGCAGAGGGGTCTGAAGTTGGCAGTGAAATGCTACTTTAGCCTCTCCCACCTGCATTACTCAAGGGGATTACCTTATCGCTCCACTTGTCGTAAGGATAGACTTCCAGGTAATTTCGGGCCAGGATCATCAGTCCCTGAGCAATGAATCGCTCGTTGGCAATGTCGATCTCCACAGTTGTTTCCTGCCCCTTGGCATCCTGAGAGCAGCAAGCCAAAAAATGGCGCACAATGAACTCGTAGAGTCTCTGCTCGTTGCCCTGACACCAAACAGTGAAAGGAGTCAGCGTTAATGAGACATCCAGAAATCAGTGGGATCTCAGGTGAGGATCCTGTGGTCATGACCACGTTATTAAGGCTTTTATCTTTATTTACCAAACAACACAAACGAGTTACCTCTGGTTTCACCCACCTGCAGGTTAGCGGTGTATTTGGTGGGGTGAATGGGAGGATGAGCCTGATCGGATTTGGTTCCACTCCGAGGGGTTGGCCCACCCTGATCCAAAATCCTCTGTGCAAATGCTCCCCAGTTTGGGTCCTGTGTTTGCTGTTGTACCAAGGCTGAGAGGTTCAGTTCCTTGGGGAAAATGTTGGTCTCAGTTCGGGGGTAGCTAATGAACCTTCGGAAGAAAGACGGGAGAGCACTTAAAGAGGTGCTCCAAGATGCTTCCCAGTTTGGACAAAACACCATTTACTTTTAAAATAATGAAGTTTACCAAGCCAGGTCTTGCTTTCTTACCCTTTAGTGTAGAGTTTTTCTGCTATTGTCATGGTTTCCTTTGCGTTTATTTTCAGTTTGCGGGAAGCCAACTTCTCGAGTTCCTGAGGTGGGAAGGGCCAGAAAAAACCCAGAAGCATTAGTGCATTAATTCAGGGTGGTGAGTAAAACATCTGTTCACAGCTCCTTTTAGAGGAGTCTTTTCCAGAGTTCAAACATACCACAGTATCCAGGGGCAGGGGCCTCCATTTGCTCTTTGGCTTGCTCGCAACCTCAACAACAGTCGCCACCGGATCCTAAACAGAGTAAGCAAAACCCAAATCTCCTTTAAGAGTTTGCACAAACCGTTCTTTCAACGTCTTGATACAGGGAATGTTTGGCTGACTCTGGATTACAGAACTATTTACAAGCCTTCCTACCTCCATACACATTTGGTAAAGGACCAGGCACGCCGTGTGGTTGAAGAGCCGGTTCCTCTTCCAGTTGAAGAGCACACTGCCGTCTTCGTGGTCGTGGGTCACTGTGGGGAACAACAGAGCTGGCTGGCAGAGCAGTCACAAAATGGAAACATCACAAAAGCACCTGGAAACCTTCCAGTTCTGCTCCGTGGTCCCAGCAGAGGAAGAGGAAACCACCTCTGCAGCGCTGTGTGCTTGTTGCTCCAATGTTTTTCCTTCCTATGCACATCGAACCCTCTGAGATGGAGCCCAGGGATGGTTTTCCCCAAACATACCTTTAATTTTGTAGAAGGCTTCAGGAACAAAGGCTTGGATGGCTTTAAAGCGTTCAACTACAAATCCCAGTGTTGGGAACTGGCAGCTACCATAGCTGATCAGCTGATCTGCTAAAATATCGGGGAAGATCTTCCGCAGCCTCAGCGTCTGGAACCTGGTGAAGGCAGCACCTGGGAAAACAAAATGGGCACCAGAACTGAATGCAACAATGCTGAATGATAATCACAGCACTTCAGATTATATAATACTCTGAGCATTCATTTTACTCTGTTTAATACTCAGTTGTAGAGGCTTGTCAGTGCTGTGTGGGCCATAAACTTAATATTTGCTTCAAGGAGCAATTTCCTCCTTTTGGGAGGGAAACAAACCCTTCAGAAAGGGTTGTTAAACAGCAGAATGGACTGCCCAGGGGGTGGTGGAGTCACCATCCCTGGAGTTGTTCAAGAAACGACTGGATGTGGCACTCAGTGCTCTGGTCTAGCTGACAAGGTTGTCATCGGTCACAGGTTGGACTCGATGATCTCGAAGGTCTTTTCCAACCTAAATGATTCTCTCATTCAAAGAGCACGTTTTCCAGTAAAATGAGATGCCATTAAGTTGCATCTGATCAATAAATCAGGTGTGTGACACCACAGAGGGCATTTCTGCCTTGTGCTGAGGATACAGGAAGAGGTGTTTACGGACCTATCCTGAGGTCCAGCTCCTGCCTGACGTCGACGGCGTCGCTCGTCCTCTGGTCCGGCTGGGTGAGGTTCTCACAGGCTGATCTGACAGCATGAAGGGTGATCTCTGAGAAACGGGCTCGGAAAACCTGGAGGTTTGGCTTTACTGCCAGACAGACACGAGAAAGAAATCAGACTGACCCAAGCACCAACAGAGAGGAGCAACTGATAAACAGCTGCCTTCAAAAGGCTGCGCTGCCGACCTGCTCGACAGCTTTCCAACAGCTGAACACATTTCTGCTTTATTAGAGCCACATATATTTATCAGAACTACAGTCAGCATTCAACCTGGACGCAGTAAGATTGACAATACACCTCTGCCAAAAGATCCCTGAGGGGCTGTTAAGCTTTTAATGGAACCCAGACTGCTGAAGACGCTCTACGCACCCGCTTTGCACACGTGGATGATCTCGAAGCCGATGTTCTCCCCCTCCCGATCGCAGTCAGTCCAGATCACCAGGGCTTGGCACTGCCGGATTTCTCGCTCAAGGGTTTTCTGAGAGCAGAAAACAACACAGGGAGACATTCCAGGCCACTCGCTTTGTCATTTAATTTTGGAATGACTCACTGCACACGAAATGCAACGCGTATCCATGGAGATGGATTGTTGCAATAACATTTGGTAATTGTGTGTCTCATGAGATTAGGCAGCTTTCAAAAGAATTGAGTCATTTATTTATATCTAATTCTGTTAAAAAGCTTGGCTAGGAGCGGGTTGTACCACAATCTGCTTTCTAAAAATGTAATTTTTTTGTAAAACTGAGACACAATCCCCAATTCCACCTTGTTGGGAAAAAACATTTCTATCTTTAGCAAAGTAGTTGTTCCTTTACTGCACTACTTGTGCATGAGCGGGAGAGTTTCGATGTTCAAACAAACAGCATTAATAGTCCTAGGAAATGCAGGGAGAATCTGCTAAACTGGAAATTTGGATGTTAAGGACAATCATCCTTCTGCCTGGGACAGCATTTGTTGAATCAACCCCTGAACTCAGTTTCAGGGCAACTCTTGACCACGACGTACCTTGATATCCAGGTAATTTTCAGGGCAATACTTCTCAATTTCAGCATCAAAAAGAGCTAAAGGGTTGCAGCTATGCCTGGGGAACAAAGGATAAACAGTGTGCATCACAACAACTAAAACATATATTGTGAGACATAACTAGTGCTGTCTAAGTGCTGGAATTAATAAACGTATTTTATTACAGGCCTATCTCAGACAACACGGAGTTCATGTGAAATGCTGAGTAACACTTAACAGAATCAAAAACCAGTGCTCTGAAAAAGAGTAATTTGAAACAATATTTTAGTATTCTCCATAAAATTTGGATCTCATCACCCTGCTCTGTGTCAGAGTCCCTCCCTGCCCCCTTGTCTTTGAGCTTGCAGCGCCTCAATCGGCTCAGGGTCAAGAGCAGGAGATGACAGACCCTTCTTATGAGGGGCAGGAGGTGACAGACCCCTTCCTGTGGAGCCCTGGAGGTGACAGACCCTTCTCTGCCAAGGGCACGAGGTACCAACCATTTGCGAAACGGCATCCTAAACTCGTGAGTCAGTAAGTGTCCTGACACGGATGTCATCACCATGGTAACGGTCTGCAAGAGACGGAGCGAAGTAATTAGCAAGGTAATTAGTGCCCATCGTTCACTAAAAACTACCCACAGCCCCCAAATCTTCCTCCAGTGCTCAGTTGACACCACCAGTGACGCCTCTCTCCTGTTTATGACAGAATCCCAGAATGGGACCTTAAAGCTCGTCTTGTTCCATCCCCTGCCATGGGGACAAGGCTCCAAGCCTATTCCAGCGTGGCCTTGAACACTTCCAGGGATTGAAGGGAAACTCCTACCTGGCCAAACATCTGGTAGTCATATTCGTAGATCTTGTTGAACTTGGAAAACCCTTCTCTCTGGAAGGAAAAGGAGAGCTCCTGAGTTTCTGTTGTCTAACAGAAAACAAATCCATCCTGCCTCGCTTTGTACACGCTGCGATGGAGCACGGGAGGCAGGGAAAACCAGGTCCTGGGGCTGATGGGAATTACAGCAGGGGAATGGAAACTGCCTGTTATCATTTTATGGAGACGCTGAAATGGTGAGTTCCAAGGTAAGAGTATTTTAAACCATCCCTGAAGGTGATGCCAGGGTTATCTCCCCACGGATAATGAAGAACTGATTTGTTTAACAGGGCTGGCCAATGATCATGGAATCACAGAAACTCCTGACAAACACCTGTCCTGTTTCAAATGACGAGCAGTGTCCCAGCTCAGGGCCCCCAAGGCTACCTCCCACCTCAGACTAGTAGAAGTTTCTAGATTGTGTATTTGCTGCTTTTTGCTACAGAAGCAGGACAGTTTCTTCCTTGATTGGGACTGTCAGCGCTCAGGTTCTCAATAACATCTTGCAGTCAAACAAAGGAGGTTCTATGAGGTTGGGATCTTCTCCCACTAAGAGGAAATGGCCTCAGGCTGTGCCAGGGGAGGTTCAGGCTGGATATTACAAAGAAATTCTTCATGCAAAGGGTGGTCAGGCCTTGGAACTGCCCAGGGAGGTGGTGGAGTCCCCATCCCTGGAGGTGTTCCAGGAAAAACTGGACGTGGCACTCAGTGCTCTGGGATGGGGGACAAGGTGGGGGTTGGTCACAGGTTGGACTTGATCTTGGAGGTCTTTTCCAACCTCAGTGATTCTCTGATTCTGCTCTAGAATCACCTTCTAGTTCCTTAGTTTGGAAACTAAGTGATTATGCAAACTGTTAAAGGTCACAAACCAGAGCAGCAGAGAGGACAGATCTTTGAATTCCTCTTCTCCAAACCACAGGCCATCTTTGCTTTATTCTGTGAACTCCAGTAAACCCCTGACACTTCCTGATGCTGCAGAAGAGGTGCTTTTTGACAGGGGAAATGCCAACAGATGGTTTCAGTTCCTGAAGCCTTTGGCACACGCTGCAAACCTAGAGATTTTCTGTCCACAGACAAAGGCCATTCTTGTACCCTCATGCGGTCAGAAGTGTCCAGAGACAAAAACCAGCCTGAGGTTGTTTCCTCTTGTACTGTCACTTGTTACCTGGGAAAAGAGGGCAACCCTCCACCTCATATACCCCCTTCTTTATTTGACTGCCAGGTGTTATTGAGAACCTGAGCGTCCCGACAAAGGAAGAAACCATCCTGCTCCTGCAGAAAAAAAGCAACAAACCCACAACCCAGAAACTTCCACAAGTCGCAGCGAGGTAGGAGGCAGGCCTGGGGACCTGAGGCTGCCACACAGAGCACAGCTGAGCCCAGGGCTGTGCTGCTGCCCTTCCCCAGCCAGCTAAACCCCATCTGTTGGTGTCTCAGGGAGCAGCGGGATGTGGCGTGTCCCTGCATGTCCCAGGGGGCAGCGGGATGTGGCGTGTCCCTGCATGTCCCTACCCGCCGCATCCTGCTGTTGGAGAGCAGATCGGCGATCCCTCGGGCAGCGTCGTTCTTCTCGGCCACGCACAGCACCCTGCGGATCCTCCGCAGCGCCCCGTCCTCGGCGGCCCGGGAGAAGAGGCGCCAGGGCTGGGGCAGCATCCTGCCCCCGGCCAACAGCCTGGCCCGCACGATCATCACGGGGGGCAGGGGCGGCTCCGGCGGGGACAGGGCATGGTGCCGCTCCGCGTCCCTGCGGGCACGGACAGACATCAATGGGGTCCCCGCTCTGCTCCCCCCACCACGGCCGGGCTTTCCCTCACGCTGGCCAGCCCCTCCTCGGCCCGCCCCGGGGCTCCCCGTCACCCAGCGCAGCCCCTGCCCTCCCCTCTCCCCCTCAGCTCTCCCATTTTCTCCCTTTTTCGCCCCTTTTCCCCCCGTTTTCCCCGTTCCCCCCCTCACCTCCCTCTCTCCCGCGCTCTCCCCTCACCGTCACGTCCTGCCGCGCACAGAACTGCAACTCCCGGCATGCCCCGCGGCGCCAGGGAACTACAACTCCCGAACGCCCCCGCGGCTCCTCCTCAGTGTCTCCCCTGCCACCGCCCTGCCTCGGTTTTCCCCTCTTTCCCACCACCGCCGGGCCCGTCCCGGGATCGGTAACGACAAAGGGCGACGACGGTAGAAAAATCAGCCAGAGCCGAGGCCGAGGGGGAGGCGGGGGCGGTGCCGCTTCCTGGCGGCGGGGTCGGAGGCCGCGCGTCATGTGACGCCAAGATGGCTGCGGGGCCGTGAGGAGGCGGCTCCGGCCATGGCGGCGGCGTGAGGGGCACCCGGGGCTGCGGCGGCGGCGGGGCCGGGCCGGGGCGGCGGCCTGAGGGCGGCACGGGGCTGCGGCGGCGCCTCCCGCGGCGGGAGGGGACCCGGGGCGCGGCGCTGCTCCATGTCGGCCCCGTCCTGCGGGAAATATGATCAGCGCCCCTGACGTGGTGGCCTTCACCAGGGAGGAGGAGCTGGAGGATGATCTGTACCGCGAGCCGCCCCTGCCCGAGGAGTACTCGGTGCCGCTGTTCCCCTTCGCCGGCCACGGCGCCAACCCCTGGGCCAAGGTCGCCGGCTCCAAGTTCACCCGGGACTTCATCCTCATCTCCGAGTTCTCGGAGCAGGTGGGGCCCCAGCCCCTCCTGACCATCCCCGATGACGCCAAGGTGTCGGGCACCTTCGACCTCAACTATTTCTCCCTGCGGATCATGTCTGTGGATTACCAGGCGTCCTTCGTGGGGCACCCCCCCGGCTCTGCCTACCCGAAGCTGAACTTCGTGGAGGATTCCAAGGTGGTGCTGGGGGACTCCAAGGAAGGGGCTTTCGCCTACGTGCACCACCTGACCCTGTACGACCTGGAAGCCCGTGGCTTCGTGAGGCCCTTCTGCATGGCCTACATCTCTGCTGACGAGCACAAAATCATGCAGCAGTTTCAGGAACTCTCCGCCGAGTTCTCCAAAGCCTCCGAATGCCTCAAGACGGGGAACCGGAAAGCCTTTGCCAACGAGCTGGAAAAGAAACTGAAAGACCTCGACTACACCAGGACTGTCCTGCACAACGAGACCGAGGCACAGAAGAAAGCCAACGACAAGGGGTATTACACGACCCAGGCCATCGAGAAGGCCAACGAGCTGGCCAGTGTGGAAAAGTCCATCATCGAGCACCAGGACCTGCTGAGACAGATCCGGTCCTATCCCTACAGGAAGCTGAAGGAGTCAGAGTTCCACCCCTACGAGCCGGAGTGTGCACTGGATCGGGCTGGCACGGGCTGCGATCAGGACTCGGCCCCCTCTGACCCTGCAGAGCCCGGTGAGACGCACCTTTACACCCACATCCCGTCCTACACCCCCAAGCTCATCAAAGCCAAGTCTGCCAAGTGCTTTGACAAGAAGCTGAAGACGCTGGAGGAGCTCTGTGATGTTTATTTTTTCACCCAAACCCTTGACCAGCTGCACCATATCGAGAGGACTTTCCGAGGTGACGTGTGTTACCTCCTGACGGAGCAGATCAGCCGGGCGCTCCTGAAGCAGCAGAGCGTCACCAACTTCCTCTTTGAGGATTTGTCTTTTCTGGATGAAAAACCTCCTGAAAAACAGTACAGAGGCTGCCAGGGGCTCAGCCAAGATGCCATGGATGGAAAGTGTTTGGAAGAGCCCCTCACCCCTAAGGTGGTCATCAGCCTGGGCTCCTACAAGTCCAGCGTGGAGTGTGTGCCCATCAAGATGGAGCAGGAGATGGAGGACTCCGAAGAACCCAAAATGTCCGAGTCCGTGACGTCCGAGCCCCAGGAGAACCTGGACTACCTGGATGCAGACATCAAAGGCAGCATCAGCAGCGGGGAGAGCATCGAGGTGCTGGGGACGGAGAAGTCGGGCTCGGGGCTGACCAAGTCGGAGAGCCAGGCCAGCCTGCCCGTCATGCCCAGCCCCCAGGCGGGCCGGAGCAAGGTGGGCAGCCGGCGCACGGTCAGCGAGGACAGCATCGAGGTGCTCAGCACGTGTCCCTCCGAGTCCCTCATCCCGGAGGACTTCAAGGCGAGCTACCCAAGTGCCATTAACGAGGAGCCCTACGCGGACAACGACGACGAGCGCGGCCTTCGCTTCGCCCCCAGACTGAGCCCGGGCGTCGTCGACGAGCGGGACGACGTCTCCAAGCAGGAGAGCTTGGTGCAGGTGGATGCTGCCTGCTGCATCGGGAAGGAGAGCCCCAACTTCCTGGAGCCCCTGCCCGAGCTGGGGCAGAAGCCGTGCGAGGAGGACGGCGTGGTGCGGATCCCGCCGCAGCCGTACCGGGCGGCCGAGCAGGGGCTGCGCGGGGGCTTCCCCGCCCACGACGGCGCCCCGGGGGGGCTCCTGCCCTACGAGCTCGACTCGCGCTACCTGTCGGGCAGCAGGGAGGTCAGCAAGAGCAGCCTGGACGAGTGCTCGGACTCCACGAGCTACATCAGCAGCGCCGCCTCCACGTGCTCCGACAGGACCCCTTCTCCCGCCCGTGCCGCCTGCCCGGCCGGGGAGAGGCACAGGAAGAGGGCCGGGCAGAACGCGCTGCGGTTCATCCGGCAGTACCCCTTCGCCCACCCTGCCATCTACTCCCTGCTCAGCGGCAGGACCCTGGTGGTGCTGGGGGAGGACGAGGCCATGGTCAAGAAGCTGGTGACGGCGCTGTCCATCTTCGTGCCCAACTGCGGCGCGTACGCCAAGCCCGTCAAGCACTGGGTCACCTCCCCCCTGCACCTGGTGGATTTCCAGAAGTGGAAGTTGATCGGACTCCAGAGGTAAATCCAAGGATCTGTTTGCTTTGGTGGTGTGGAGGTGTGTGGTAAGAACTTCCATCTCAGAGGGGAAGGGGGTGTGCAGGGGAGGTCTCTGATTAAGCTACACAGCTGCCACGGATTTCTGCTGGTGGGATTTATTTTGGAAAAGGGGTAGATATGTCTCTTTATGTCCAGCCTCACTTGAGAGGTAATATTTAAAACATGTGCTGGGTGTTTCCTGCTTGCCTCAGGTGAGTTATTTGGCCAGGAGGTTTCCTTCTGGTTTGGGTCTTTGCCTGGCAAAGCAGAGAACAAACACCTGAGTCCTGCTGAGCTCATGTTAGCAAACAGGGATTGCTCAGCTCAAGATTTCAGCCCTGCCTTTGTTGCTGTTATGAAAAGGATTTTTTCGTGTGTTAGCAGGACGTGTTTGGGTGCAGGTGTGACAGGGACTGGCCTTTGCTGTCACCAGTGTGGAAAACATGAGTCAGAGTGGCAGCCCAGTGCTCGGAGCTGGGCTGGAGTAGCTCCTGAAAGAGTGTTCCTGAGCAGTGTGGAACTTAAGCCACAGAAACCTGCTTTCTGGACCGCAGAGTATTACATTGCTGGGGGTTGTGGATGGTGAAATTACCCGAAGCTGTGAGTTCACCCTCATTTCTGTGCTCATGAGGTGGGATGACAGCTCTGCAACAGCTGCTCATGAGCTCTCTGTCTGTCAGTGAGGTTTTAAAAGCCCCAAGTGTTTACTCGTTGCTCAATGTTTGTGGTTAGATGCAATTTTTATAAACAGAAATCTTTTTTTAAGCGCTGCCTGGAACGTGTGTCAGTCATTTCAGCTCTCCTCCGTGGAATGTTAATTAAGTGTTGGGTTTAATGTGGGTGCTCTCAGCAAACCATTCGTACGAGGGCTCCGGGAAGGAACTTCCAGGCTACATAATTTATTCTGGTAAGGATCCTGCCTCTCCTAAGGCCAGGTGCTGCCTGGGCACAGGGACAGCCCTTACACCATTTGGGGTTCCCAGTTGGAGGCTGGGAGCTGTATCAGCCCAGTGACTGTCACCACAGAGACAGAGAATGGAGGAGCTGAAGGTTTGTGTAGGCTCGTGATTTGCATTTAAATAACATCAGGCCAAGCTTGGTGGGTAATTGTGTGTTGTGGGTTTGCACCTGAGTGACAAATGGACAGGCTCTGCCAGGGAGTATTCTGGTTTTATTCTCTTTTCTAAAGGAAAGGTGGAAGGTTTTGCTCCACTCAGGGCTTTGGCCACCTCAGAGCAGCTCCTTCCCAAAGTGATATGGGGGAAAGAGGAGCTCACGGAAAGAGGGAGCTGGTTTGGGTTTCTGAGTCCCTGTTGTCACATCCAAAAACTTCCAGCTGCTGCAGGGTTTGTGTCTGTGCACCAGAGATGTCCTATCACCCCCTGTCCGTGTTGCTGAGGAAGGAAGCTGATCCAAAGTGGGGTGGTTTATGCAGTAGCACACATGTAGTGCAAATCAGGGCACGTGTGGGCCAGGGAGTCGAGGTTTCTTTGGGACCTGGCAGGCTGGAGAGGCTGTTTGTCCCCCTCTTCCATGCTAGACCTCATTCTCTCCACAGAGGTTCTCACACCAGCTCGTGAGCTGGAGGGAAGGCACGTGGGGCGCAGGGCGTGGACACAGCTCCCCTCCAGCCGTGACCTCTCTCCTTGCTGTTGCAGGACGGTGTCCCCCGCGGGGGTGAACGTGCTGCACGCCCTGAGCCGCTACAGCCGCTACCTGAGCATCCTGGACGCCGACAGCAAGACCCTGCGCTGCCCCCTCTACAAGGGCACCGTGGTGGCCCGGCTGGCCGACCACCGCACCCAGATCAAGCGGGGCAGCACCTACTACATGCACGTCCAAAGCATCCTTACCCAGCTCTGCTCTAAAGCCTTCCTCTTCACCTTCTGCCATCATTTGCACCTTCCCATCAGCGAAAGGGAACCGGAGGAATCCGTCGTGAACCGCAGGATGAACTTCCTGAAGCTTCAGCTGGGCCTCGCCAACGAAGATGTCAAAATCGTGCAGTATTTGGCCGAGCTGCTGAAGCTGCACTACATTCAGGAACCGGGGCAGGGGGGGAGCCCCCTGCTCAGATTTGACTACGTCCCCAGCTTTTTGTACAAAATCTAGCCTTGCCCAGGCCGTGTGCCCGCGTGCTCAGAGTCTGACAGAGCTCATCCGTGCTTGACATCGCCACTGTCTGCAGTAGCTCTCCCGCACCGGGAAGGGGCCGAGGGGTTTGTGTGTCTGCTCCGCAGGAAGCCGTGTCTGTGGCAGCAGATTCCCGGGCGTTCCCTATGGCCAAGAGCGTATGTGTTCCATCACATAAACCATCAGGCACTGTGTAAATGTTAGAAGGGGCACTGTTAACCTTTAAAGAGGGTCCTGACAGCATCCCAGGGGGATTGTGGCATGGAGAGAGGTGGGGCTGTCTCGGAGATCAACACTTACTTACTAGTGTGCAGCCCCTGAAAGATCACAGTGCTCTGCACGCTTCTGCCAGAGCCCTGCCAGTCCCTTCCGTTGGAGCCAGGGCAGAGACCAGAGGGGAGATGTCGAGGCCACGTGAAGGTTTTAATCCACTGGTGTGTCATGTGAGTGCAGCTCAGAGCTCCCTGGCAGGGTGGAAGGTACCCGTCTGTGCACAGCTGTGCTGATGGTGTCCCTTCCTGCATTTTCTGAGTTTCCTGGCACTTCCCAGGACAGGTTGTCCCTGGGTGGGTGGGAGCACGGTGGAGGCACATGTGCTTCTCTCCAGGAAGCGTTTGCCAGTTTCCCCCAGCTCTGTTAAAATTAGGAAGGTGGAAGCACTCCCTGACGCTGGGCCCCGAGGCGCCGGCTGCCGTGAATGTAGAGCACTGTGCCTTGTTCATTTGTCACGTCCTATTTGCTGGGCGACCTCTGAGAAGGCTGGAGGCAGACTGGGGTTCCTCAAAGCGGGTGATGTCAGGGGTGGCTTTTAAAGGAGAGAAGGGAACTGAATGAGGGTGAGTGCCCTCATTTTTAGGTGCTTTTTGTGATGGGGAAACGATGCGATTCAGCTGGAGCTACGCTGAGACAGCAGGCTGTTAGCACAGGCTGCCTGGCTGGTGAGGTACTAGTGCTCAGGAGAGATCAGGGATGAATGTACTGGATTCCACGTTGTATCTGTAATAGTTTATTTTATTTTTTTTTTTTGTTGGGGAGTTGATGCTTGTGCTTTGTGGTAAAACAAGGCTGGCGTTCCTGCGTGCTGCTGCTGGCTGAGCCGTTGCCGTGTCACAACTACCTCTCCTGGGGCTCCTGGATGGCTCTGGACGGGGCAGAACTACTGCTCTCTGAGCCTGGATACTGAGAACTTTTCCTTTCAAAGCTTCTGTGCCATAAAGGATGTGCCACCAGCGTGGTGACACTCCCAGATTGTTCCTGTCAGTGCCGAAAGCTTCGTGCCCGGGTGCGGCGCTTCCCTGCGGAGTCTCGTCGGAGGTGCTGAGCCTGGGCTGCTCTGCCCGCTGCCATGTGGCAGTAGCAGCCCCCGTGGTACTTCTGAGCCAGAAAAGCCTTGCTAGGAAAGATAATCTCGGTTTTATTTCTTTTTAACGCTGATTTTGGGGTGAGAACAGCTGAGATCGTACAAGAGCTGATGCGTTGTTTGATTTTTTTTTGGTTTTTTTAAACCTCTGTTTGGTGACGATGTGAGACAGTGCTGGAGATGAATGTGATCTTCCTTCTGAGCCTAGGAAGTTCCTGTGTGCAGCCTGGGAGTCCCCAGCATGGCTTAGACCTGGCTGAGACTTGCTGTGAGACCTGCACTGCTCCAAAACCCGTGTCCCAAAGGCAGGGAGGCTCCCTGGGGAGGCTGTTGTCTGGCACCAGCTCGACAGTACTGCTGCCACCTCTTCCTCTCCCCTGGAAAGGGCTCTCTAGGGTATAAGCCAACAGTGCAGAAAGGCTGGTTTCAAGGTTATTGCTGTTTCTCGTGGCTCAGCGGAGCCAGTTGAGCTTGTGGTACTCTCCAGAGGGATTTCCCAGGTCAGAGGTTGTTTATGAGGATATTTTAAGGTTAGAATTGGAAGCAGTGTGGTGTGGCCTTTGCTGAAGGTGAGCTGTGTGTCTCTGTGGGGCTGCTCACCTTTAAAGCATGTTTAAAGCCTTTTTCTGTCCTACCTTTGCCCTCCTGTCGCATGTGAACTGGGTCTGCTGGTGAAAGGCCTCTGTGTCCATCAAACTGTCTGCTTCCTGAAGTGACTCAAGGTGTTGATCCCTGTGCACCCAGACTGCCTGGGGGAAGAGGCATCTCAGCAAATGAGTAATGCAGGTGCCACCAGGCAGACAAAAACTCCCAGTGTCCTGCTCTGGAGCTGTGGTCAGAACAGGGGCTTGTTTCCTGATGAAAAACAAGCTGGTGCTGTTTGGGTTTGAGGAGGGAGGGAGGGTGGAACTTTTTTCCTGTTGACTCACCCACCATCTTCCTCCAGGCTGACAGCGTGGAGCGGGAGGATGATTAGTGGTGGCTCATCTCTTAGTCACAGTGGTCTCGACCTCTGGTGTTCAGCTGTGCTCACAAATTGATAAATAACTCACTTCTCATTGCTCCCTCTGTCAGACCTGTAGTATCTGATTTTCAAGGCTGTGTTGAGCAATACTTGCACTACCACCTGCCTGACCTGCTTCACCTCTGCACCACAAAGCTCTGATTTGGGAGGATGCCCCAGGGGCTTGGCTGGGACATCACCCGATTCCAAACGGGAGCTCAGTGGTTATCTGCAACTGGGAACTGTGGAGAAACATGCCCTGGAGTGCTTGTCCTCCTCTTGGCAGTGTAACCTCTGAGCTTGGACTGGAAAAGTGGGAGTTACACCTGGCTGTGGCACCTCGGTGCAGCCAGAGCTCAGCCTGCCCTCCCTGCTTGTGGTGGCAGAAATAGGGGGGGATTCCGAGCACAGCTGATGCTTGGGGGCTGAATTCCTCTTTCCTCAGTGATTCCTCTGTCTGCCCTTGTGCTCCTGTACAGTACAGATCCCTGTATCGGCACTTTAGGACTTTTCCCCATCTCGCTGTGGTACCTCACCCGTTTCTGATATTCACGGACTTACAAGTCACCACCTTTGCACTGACAGCCCCTGCCGTGAGTCCTGGCACGTGTGTGTCGTCGGCTTGCCCAGGCCATCCTTCCAGCAGGAGCAGGGCAGGTTCCTGGCAGCTGCCAGAGCCAGCGTGGCCCTCTCCTGCTTCTGTGACTGCTGCCAGCCCAGCATGTCCCCGCCTCCCGCACGGCCGCACCGGCTCCCTCCTGGCTGCCAGGGAGAGGAGGTGTTAAACCTGACCGAGAATTCATCGGAGCAAAGTCCCCCCGTGGCGGGAGGAAGGGCTCCTGTTTCCCGCTCGCTCCTCCCGACTGCCATCCCTGCTCTGCTCTCCACTAACCTGCTGCTTCCAGCTCCCACCTGAGGAGGGTCAGCCATAGCTGTAGGAGATCTTAACCCTACACAGGTTTTCATTTCTCAGAGAACAGTGCTCAGATTTCCTTTCATCCGGTGGCAATCCCTTCAGGGCAGCTCCACAGCCGCCTTGCCTTGGCAGGGAGGTGCTACCTATACTCTAGCAATATTCACCGTGTTGGGAGGGGTGGGAGAGGTGCTCCAGGGGCAGGAGCTGATGGCTCCGTGCCCTCAGGCCAGTTCTTTGGTTTTCCTGGAGTGAGGGGTATCGCGGGTGGGGGATTGTCCCGCAACAGACCCAGCGGCACATCTTGTATGGGAGACGGGACACAGGACTGTGCCCCACAAAATGGCCTTTATTAAAACAAGAAGACAGTTTATATACAGGGGGATACAGAAGGTTCAGGAACAGAGGTGGGTTTCTTGCTAGGGAACATCAAATCCTGAAAGTTAGTGATAAGTGAACTTGGAGGGATAGGCTGCATGGAATATGTCTGGTCACATATGGCAGGGGAAGGGAGAGCTTAGGGATGAATGGAAGGATTGTCCTGGGGGCAGAGACATGGGAATCTGCAGAGGCTGCAAGGCTGCGGCCTTGTAGCTGGGTCCCAAGCAGTTCTGCGCAGCTGCAGTTGCTAGAAGACTTCGAGAGAGATCTCTTCTTCTGAGCCTTCCTTGTAGCTCTTTTGCATCTCTCTCCACTCTCTGTAGGCCTCTTCTGGTCCACCCCCGACATTTCCCCCTTCTCTGTTTTGCAAGACTGGAAAAGCTTGGGAAAATCTTTTAGTCATGGATTTTTTTAACACAAAAAATTAGACAGGGAAGGAAAACAAGGATGGAGAAAGTGATAATTAGAAACAAAATGACTCCTTTAACAACCTTGTTGGCCCAATCAGAAAAAGAAGGAAAGTGGAGCCAACTAAAGGTACCTAGACGTAGGAGAGTTTGGGAAATAGTGTTTGAAGAAGGAAGATTATCTACAAGGGAAGTGTTTTGGATAAACCCGTTCCAGTCGGGTATACCCACAAGACAGCTTTTAAATGGATGACTTATGCTGTTGAGGGAAAGGCAGTGTTGGTGGCTCTGGCTAGGGTAATCCTCCTCCCTTGGCTCGGATGGGCTCCCCATCTCTGGTGAAAATGGAGCGGCAGTAGCGTGCCCAGTGATACCCCTTCTTGCACATGGGACACAGGGTCCTAGGAAACTTGGGGCTAGGATCTGGGTTAGGGCAGTCTCGTGCAAAGTGTCCTGGCTGCTGGCATTTGTGGCACACACTATTAGCTTTTTCTGCTTCCATGATTGCTTCCTTAATGGCTAGTATTCTGACTGGTTCTGCCTCAATCAATGCATCTGCTATTATTTTGCTTTCATACTTATTTGAGCCAATGTCCTTGCAGGCTTGTATCCTGGACATGGGTGTGGGGTTCACCAGGGAGCGGAGGACAGGCTGACAATCTGGGTTGGCCTGTTCTATAGCTAATCGGATAAACAGAGCATCTTGAGCCTCTAAAGGTTTCACTTGTCCAGCTATTGCTTCCCTCAGCCTGGTGGCAAAGTCATAAAAGGGTTCTTTAAGGCCTTGCTGTATGTGTGCAAACGAAGGAGAAGTGGTGGTGGCCTCTGCCACAGCCTTGATGGCTTCTAGAGCCAGGCTTTTCGTTTTATCTAGCCTGCCGAAGGGTGTCCTTGCCTGCATTCTGCTGGAGGAGTAGGGACCCTCCCCGTACAATTCATTAATTAAATCTTCCACAGGCACTCGCAGTGCATGGTGTGAGTTCTCAGCATATTGCCTTATGAGTTTTTTCCACTCTTGTTCAAAGAGGGAATACTGCATTAGGTTTAAAATCCCCTTTGTAATTACCCGTATGTCAGTTGGTGTCAGAGTGTATGCTGCAAACAAGGAATCTAGCATTCCAGAAACAAAAGGAGAGTTTAAACCATAGTCTGTAACCGCTTTTTTCGCGTCCCGTAGGATGGGGTATGGGACCGGTTCCCATTCGGGGTCGCGATTGCTTTCGGGGAAAACCGGGAAAACTTTCAGCAATTCCAAGTCTCCTGCGTCTTCTGCCTGCTTTCTCGGACCTTGCCACTTATTGCCGGCGGTAGGGGAGTCACAGCCTGTGTTGGTACCGGCTGGGGGGGGGGTCTGTTGTTGCAGGGTTTTTACTCGCGGCACGGGACCCGTGGGCGCCGCCATGTTTGTGACGTTTCCATCTGGGGAGTCTGCGCAGTGAGAGAAACGCAGGCTCCGGCGTTGGAGGAGGGTGGAGTCTGGACTAGAGTCACGTTGCGCGCTGACGTCATCCGGGGTGGGGGCGTGTCTAACTCACGTGCTTTAGGGTGTGAGGGCGGTGGGCGAGGTTCGGTAGTTTTTTCGGGCTTTTTGGGTGGAAGAGAAGGGCTCTCATCGCCACTTTTGGCATGTCTCGGGTTTTTCAAATGAGGGAGAATTACGCGCCACGACATGAGAGCGAGACCTGCATTTTTATCGCCTCGTTCAAAGGCGTGTACCAGCGGCTCTCCTGGCTTGTACCACACCGCCTGTAGGTTAATAAGTCTGGGGATATCAATTTGCTCTTAGAAAGCCGTTTTGTTAAAGCTTTGAGGGACTTTTTAGCCATTGGATGTCCTTCAAAGAGGAGTGTGGCTTCAATGCGTTTATAAAACTGCTGGCCGCCAGTACCGCCATCACCGCCCTCTTCTCCTCCGTGTACCGCAGAAGGCCCGCGTGGCCCGCGGGCTCGAGGGCGCCAGGAGGGTCCAGCTGGACGGAGATCTGAGGTCGGTGAAGGAGACCCTGAGCAGCCAGTTCGTGGGGAACTGCAAGGGCGTGGTTCAGAGGCTGACGCTGCAGGAGCACAAGATGGTGTGGAACAGAACCACCCACCTCTGGAACGACTACGAGAAGATCATCCACCAGAGAATCAACACCACGCCCTTCGGGCTGGTGCCCGCCGAGGGCGGCGCCGGCGTGGCCGTGCGGGTGGTGAAGCCCCTGGAGGCGGCCGAGCTCATCCTGGAGACGGTGTACGAGAAATTCCACCCCTCTGTGCAGTCCTTCACCGACGTCATCAGCCACTACATCAGCGGGGAGCGCCCCAAGGGCATCCAGGAGACGGAGCAGATGCTGAAGGTGGGCGCGGCGCTGACCGGCGTGGGGGAGCTGGTGCTGGACAACGCCACCATCAAGCTGCAGCCCCCCAAGCAGGGCATGCCCTACTACCTGAGCACCGTGGATTTCGAGTCCCTGCTGCAGAAACAGGAGTCCAGCGCCCGCTTCTGGAAGGTTCTGACCGTGGTTTTCGGCGTCGCCACCTGCACCATCCTCTTCTTCCTCCTGCGCAAGCAGTACCGGCACCACCGGGAGAGGCGGCAGCTCAGGCAGGTGCAGGAGGAATTCCGGCAGGCCCAGGAGCGCCTGATGAACGCCGAGGGCGGGGACACCCTCAAAAACGCCTGCGTGGTCTGCCTGAGCAGCACCAAATCCTGCATCTTCCTGGAGTGCGGCCACGTCTGCTCCTGCCACGAGTGCTACCAGGCCCTCCCCGAGCCCAAGAAGTGCCCCATCTGCAGGCAGGGCATCGCCAGGGTGGTTCCTTTGTACAACAGTTAATCCGTTTGTGGTTCTTGGGAGGGAGGGGGGAAGTTTCGTGGCACTCAGAGCTGTCTCTCTTGCAAAGGGGTTCTTGTCGCCTCGCTGCTTTAGGCAGTGGATTTCGGGGAAGGGGAGGGAGCTCGAGGGAGCGGGTGCTTTGACAGAGCTGGGTCTGTTGCGGGACAATACCCCACTCGCGATAGAGGGGGGCCCAGAGCCCCCCGGTCTGGTGGTGGGTGACACCCCACGCTGCGGATTCCGGGAGCTGGGCAGGCCCTGGGCTCGTAGCAGCGCTGTGAGAAGGCTCCTGGAACAGGGTGTGATGGGAATTCAGGGAGCTACCCAGGCTGCAGGAGAACACCTGCCCCAGAGCACAATGTCAGAGCCCCAGACCGCACCCGTGTCGGAGGGGCTGCAAACCCACCACGCATTGCTCCCCGGGGCGGATTTAACTGGAAGGCAGAAACAGGGTACCCGGTCCTGCTGGCGGCACCGCCGCTGGCACGGGGATGGGGCTGGGCTTGGAGCTGCCTCTGAGGGTTGCCAGGAGGCTGTGATGAATTCTCATCTTATTTTAAAGCACTGTATCCTATTCCTGCATGTTGAGTTCCGTGTGTGTGCCTGTGCGTGCCGAATGCTTGCGTCCGTAGTTAGAGTGAGAGTGAGCGGGAGAAATCCAAGAAGCATGTCTTAGTGTCGTGCTGTAAGTGTCACTGCACAAGAGTTTAACAGATGTTAATAACACCAAATGACTAGTCTGAGAAATGTACTTTTAAAAAAAAAAATAATTATTTATTTGGGTTCAGATATTTTTGAAATACAAAAAAAAAAAAAAAAAATCGGTCGTATTTTTTAAAGCTTACAATTCTTGTCATACATTGTGGTTAAATTCTTAATTTTACCGTGCTTATTAAAAAATGGTTCCACATAAGCTTTGTGCTCAGAGGTCTGAGAAAATACCAGAGAGTCTGGCTAGGGTGGAGAGGGTGATCCCAGGAGGGATGTTAGGGACAAGGCCTGGCCTTGTCAGAGCCTGCACAGGAGGTGGGAAGGCACATAGGATGAAGGGGAATCCTTGAGGCTGAAACCAGGGTGGGGTTTAGTGACTGTGAAGTTTCTTGTGCAGCTGGACCACCCATCTCTCCTGCTGCTGTGGGCAGTGTGTCCAGGGAATGTGGACAGACCGGCCTCATGTGCTGCTCCCACAGCCAGTGGGAGCTGGGTGGCAGCTGGCTGTGAGGTGAGGGTGACCTGGTGCTCGGTCCCAGTGGTGACACTGAGTGCTCAAGGGCTGGTGTCCCGACAGGGGCTGTGCTCAGGGGGTCCTTGTGCCCCACATGGGAGGGGAGAGGGGAGTAAGAGCCAAAGGATGAGCTGCTGCTGCAGTTGCAGCAGGGAGGTGCTGGGAGAAGGCACAGGGGTGTTGGGGTGTGAGTGTGCCGTGATCCCGGCTCCTCCCGAGGCTGCGGGAGCAGAGCGTTGGTGTCTCCCCTTACAGGACAGGCAGCCCTGGGAGCGGGAAGGTGGCTGCAAAGGCTTCCACCTCTTCCTTCAGTGCCTTCAGCTCCGCACGGTATTTCTCCTCCTCCAGCTTCTCCTTGAATTCCTTCAGCGTGGCCTTGGGGCTCATGTCCTTCTGCACGCGCAGCGCCAGCTCGATCCCTGCCAGCGTGGGAGATGCCTCGGTCAGCCCTCGCAGCTGCTGCAGCCCACGGCTCTGCCAGCCCTGCTGCTCCTCAGGACACAGCCCTGCTCCCTCCCTCCCGTGTGAGGGACTTGCTGCCCTGGGAAACCGACCCCCGAGGACAACTGCGAGGGACAGGGCTGATCCAGCTGTGGCCAGATGGGCCACATCCAGATGTGCAGGTGGGATGGTTATTCCCCACCTGTGGGTGTGCTCCCTTGCCAGCTGGTGCCTCCTCATCCAGGGGAGCTGCCCTGGCCCAGGATGCTGCTGGAGCTGAATCCCAGCCCTGCTCACCTCTGTGGATGTACTGAGCCACCTTGCGGAAATCGTCCTGCCGGAAGCCGCGGGAGGTGAGAGCGGGGGTCCCGAACCGCAGCCCGCTGGGGCGCAGGGCACTGACATCACCTGCACCAGGACAGGGCACACGTGACCAAACCCGGCACCGAAACCACCACACGTGGCATCTCAGCCTGGTTCCCAGCACCTGGGATGGACTGGGAGCTGGGAGCCCTGTGGGAAGCTCTGCACAGGCCACGGGAAGATCCCCAGCGCGGGGGGCAGGACACGGCAGAGCTCGTGGGATCCCTCACCGGGGCAGGTGTTCTTGTTGCAGGCGATGGAGCAGATCTCCAGCACCCGCTCGGCCCGGCCGCCGTCCGTGCCTTTGCTGCGCAGGTCCAGCAGGATCAGGTGGTTGTCAGAGCCCCCTGCAAGGAGAGGGGTTTGGTGGGGACGTGGGATTGGGGAAACGCTGCTCCCACGGGAAACATCACCTAAGAGGCTTGGGATTGCACCAGGGCCTGCCCCTGGGAAATGGGGCTGCTTCAGAACAGGTTTGTGGATGTCCTGAGGAATCATGCTGGCAGAGCCCTGCCCATTGTGCCCTCCCTGGCCTGGCTTGGACCCCATCCCACTGCCGAGACCCCTCCTCACCTGTGACAATGTCGTAGCCCATCTCCATCAGCGCCGTCGAGAGGGCCTTGCAATTGGCCACCACCTGCTGCTGGTAGGCCTTGAACTCAGGGGTCATGGCCTGGCGCAGCGCCACGGCGATCCCTGCGGGGGGAGGAGGCTGGGGTCAGCTTTTGGGGGATGCCAGCACAAGTCATCCTGGAGGCTGAGCAAACTGATGGATCACCCAGCTACCCTTCGCCATGGTATCTGTTGCTGGGGCTCAGAGCCAGGACAGCTTTGCCACACTGGAGCTGTGTGCATACCTGCAATGGCGTGGTTGTGTGGGCCTCCCTGCAGCCCCGGGAAGACCGCCTGGTTGATGAGGCTCTCCAGGTTGTAGAGTGTCTCCTTGCCCGTCTTGGGGTCCACACTGCGGGTGCCTGCGGGAGGGAGGGCGGGGTCACTCATCAGGCAGCTCCCACGAGCTGCTTTCACCCCCAGCCGCTCAGAGTGGGGATGGTGGCTGCTCCTCTTCAAATCTGAGCCAGGGTTGGCCCAGGGAAGCTCCCCAGATGCTCCCAGGATCTCTCTTCCCTCCCTCCTTCCCATCTAGAGCGGGAAGGAGCGCTAACTTGCAGCCCCCAGCCTGGGGGCAGCTGGGCACCTTTGCGGTAGAAGATCATGCCGGCCCTGCAGCCCCGCAGGGTCTTGTGGGTGGTGGTGGAGACGACGTCGCAGTGGTCGAAGGGCGAGGGCACCACGCCGGCGGCCACCAGCCCGCTGATGTGGGCCATGTCAGCCATCAGGTAGGCGCCGTTGGCGTCTGCGATCCTGCGCATGCGGGCATAGTCCAGGTTGCGGGAGTAGCAGCTGACACCTGCGGGGGGATGGGATGAGGAGGGGGCAGGAGCAGATGCACCAGGAATGGGACGGCCCCGGGTTCCAGCCCCGCAGCTGCGACAGCACACGTGGTGGGTGTGTTGGAGATGTCCTCCCGGTGCTGCAGCTGGAGTGCTACTCCCAGCCGAGTGTGCCACCAGGGAGGTTGGTACAGGTATGTCCTTACCTGCTATGATCAGCTTGGGGTGGAAGAGCCGGGCATTCTCCTCCAGCTGGTCGTAGTCGATGTAACCAGTCTTGGGGTTGACCTGGGAGAGAAGAGGAGAGTTCAGCTCCCTTGGTGTGCTGAAGACCAGCTGCAGTGCTGTCCTGCAGGAGGCAGTGCCAGGAGCCTGATGCCAGAACTTTTAACTTTAGGGGCACCAACAATTAAGATGGCCCCATCCTGGCTCCAGCTGGAGCAGCTCCCCGTACCTTGTAGGGCATGGACTCGAAGAAGACAGAGGTGGCAGAGATCTTCTTCTTGTCCGTCATGAACCCGTGGGTGAGGTGGCCCCCGTCGGGCAGGTCCAGCCCCATGATCCTGCCGTGGGGCTCCACCAGGGCCGTGTACACCGCAAAGTTGGCGGGGGACCCTGCCGTGAGAGCCCACCACGTGGCTGTGAGTGCTGGGGCACACAGAGACCAGGGCGGCTGTCCTGGCTCTGCTGAGCGCCCCGTTACCTGAGTAGGGCTGGACGTTGACGCCCCACTTCTGGGGGTCGAGCCGGTAAGCCTGCAGGGCTCGCTGCTGGCACAGCCTTTCCAGCTCATCCACGTGCTCTGTCCCGCCATAATACCTGTGGGGAGGGATAGGGCAGGGAGTGAAACCAAACTCCTTACCCAGAACAGTCCCTGTGACCAAGATGGGGAATACCTGGGGTGGTGCCCTGTTTGTGGCAGCCACAGCACGCTTGACCCTGCTGAGATTGTCCCACGTGTGGCCAAGGACAGAAGCCAGGATGGTGGGATCCCACCCTGGAACAGCTTGGCTGCCAGCACATGGACATCACTTCCTTCCCAGGCCTGGGAGGGTGGGTGGTCCCTCCCCCTCACTGTGAGGGTTTGGGTTGGTGGGACTCAGCCCAGCCCCCTACCTCTGTCCCGGGTAACCCTCGGAGTATTTGTTGTTCATGCAGGATCCCAGCGCCTCCAGCACCGCTCGGCTCGCAAAGTTCTCCGACGCAATCAGCTCCAGCCCCAGCCTCTGCCGCTGCTTCTCCTTCTTGATGATGCTGTGCACCTTTGGGAGAGGGCAGAAACAGCTTCACCATGCCAGCTCTGCAGGGAGACATGGGAGCTCCACCACAGGGTCTGCACCCTTGGAGGGACAGGTAATGGAGAGGGGCTGGAAAGGTGCTGAAGGGAGTCAAGATCCCTTCTTGGTGCAGCTTGATCCCATAGGCAGGGCACAGAGGATGGACGGGTTCCAGCAGCTCAGCCGTGGACCTTGGCATGTCCCTGGCCCGAGGAGTTCAGCATCCCCATGGCTGCCTGGGCAGGCTCCAGAGGGGGGGTCTCACCTCCGGGTCGTTGGTGTCGAGTGGCTCCATCACCATCTTGTTATGGGAGGCCCAGAGCTCAGCGCTGGGGAGGCCCTGTGTTGAGTTTGCCATGTTCCTGCTGCCTCTGAGTCACCTGCCAGTGGAGAGGGGAGTCTGTGGGATCTGTGGGATGGCAGCGGGGCTGTTCCCATGTGCTGCCTGCTCCCATCCCACATCTTCCCCAGGAACATAGAGGGACCAGCCATGGGCTGTTGGGTGAGGGAAACAAGAGCTCTGCCTCTGCTTGGCTCCCTGGGATGCCCAGGCCTGGCAGCCCTCTGGCCTGGTTGGTGCCACTGCTGCTCCCAGGGAGGAATAACAGCCCAGCTGCTGCCTTGGCAGAAAACAAAGGATCTTTTTACTCATTAACCCCGCAAGGACAGCGAGGGGCCGTGAGCAGGTTATTAAGCAATCCCACAGGGTTTCCTTGTGCCAAGCTGCCGAAGTCCATCCGCTGTGGGCCTGCTGTGCTGCCCTGGCTGGGCAGGGATGCTCGGCTGCGATCCAGCCCGGGGCTCCACTGGCTGCGTGGGAATCCCCACTGCCAGAGGGGCTTTGCTGGGGAAAGGGCTGCGAGGGAAAGGGCAGAGTGCACCGCTCTGACCCCGAGCAGGATGGCTGGGTCCTGCCTGTCCCCCCAGTGCATGTCACAGCACCCACTGCTTTTGGCAAACCCATAGAAGGCTCGAGGGGCACAGAGCTCCTGTTCCCCAGTCAGGATGAGAACCCCATGCCCACCCTCGTGGTGGTCACCAGTCTAGCCCTGGCAGCTCAGCTGCTGCAGGGGCGAACCCCAGCCCTGAAGCTCCATCCCCACCTGGCTCTGTACCTCCTGTATCCCGGCTCCATCACCTCCCATATCCCTGAGCGGCTCCCGGTGACGAGCCCACCCTGCTCTGATTCAGGGACCGGCGCTGCCTGCCCGACTCTCAGCCCTGCCCTCCCTCCCTCCCTCCCCCTCCCCGCACGGCTCCTACCGCCGCAGCACCGATCCCAATCCCGGTTCCTATCCCGGCTCCTATCCCGATCCCGGTCGGTGCCGCGCGGGAGCCCGCGCTCTACCATAGCCCGCCCGGCCCCGCCCCCCCGGGGTCGCAGCCAATCAGCGCCGCGCTCCGCCCAGCACGGCGGCGCTCCCGGCGCGCCTGGGCCAATCAGAGCCGCGCTCCTCCCCCTGCCCGCACCCCATTGGCCCGCGGCGGGGGCGGGGCCGGCGGAAGGTCCGCACGTGGCGCCCGGGGCGGGGTGACCTCGGGAGGGACCGGGAGGGACCGGGAGGGGGCCCTGCTGGTGTCACCTGCTGGTGTCACCCGTCCTGTCACCCCTCCTGACACCCACAGCTCCAGCCCTGCCTGCCGTGCACCAGCCCTGGGGTGTTCCCAGTGTCCCGCGATCCACGGATGCCTCTCGCTTCCCCCATGAGAAGGGAGCCCCCCGTACCCTACACCGGGCAGGGAGCAGTTCCGGCCACCCCAAAGCCCCCCTCCTGGAGACCAAAGCCGGTGTGCCACGGCAGGGGTTGGGCATGGGACCACTGTGGTGGGGAGCAGAGCTGGCCCTGTCCCCGCATCGTGGCAGGGCAGCCCCGGTACCCCGAGTGATATCCAGGTGCTCAGGAGGGAGGGATCTGCCAGGGGATAACTGGCACAGGCAGGAGAGAGGCCGTGCTTTCTTCGTTCTTCAAGTCCAATTAGGTGGCTGGGCTTGGCCAGCCAGCCCGAGGGAACGTGTGCCTGCTGGGGATTCAGGGGTTAAACCAACACACCACAAATTGAGGAACAAGATTAGGGAATAAGCGATCCTACTAAATTCCTCGTGATCCCAAGCCATGGGAAGGCAGCGTGAGTCACTCTGGAGACGAGCAGCAGAAGAGGAGTCAGCCAGGAGGCAAGACCACCCGCTGTGGGCAGAGTGGCCAAGGAACACAGCACAGGGTGAGTCCTGCCAGGACCTGCGAGCTGGGTGAGCAGGAGGGGCGAGGAGAACGGGGGAACTCACTGGGAGGGTGGTGTTGAGCTCTTTGGAGTGCACCTCCCTGGCAAGGGCTTGGTGAAGGTAGAGTCTGTTACCATAAGTGTTACCAGTCTAGATGGGTTTTGCTGTCTTGATTTGCCACTGGTCATCCCAAGGCGACTTGTCAAGGCAGGGGGATCTGGGTTTCCATGGGATTGCTGCTGTTGATGGAGGTGTTGCTCTGACGGCACCGACACCAAAACCGGGATTGTTTCTCTGGCTGTGGTGGTTTGTGTGAGGTGCAGCTGCAGATGCTGTAGAGGAGGACTTTATAATAACTGATACATTAATTGATCTGATCTGGCTCTGCACAGAGCACATTTGTGGGCAGGGCTGCTCACAAAGATTTCCACCTCTCCTGCGCTGCAGGAGCCGCAGATAACAGCGCTGTGTGCCATTGTGATTTCAGGTCTTGGCTTGGAGCGATGGACAGCGTCTCCTCTTCCCCGTCCCCCTTCCCTGACAGCTGCCCCACCGAGCTGCCTGAGAATGCCACCGACCAGGACTACTACTCCGGGCTCCAGAAGACCATGCACGTGCTGTCCATGGTGGTGTACGGCATCGCCTGCGTGCTGGGGGTGACGGGCAATGGCCTCGTCATCTGGATCGCCGGCTTCAAGATGAAGAAGACGGTGAACTCCATCTGGTTCCTCAACCTGGCCGTTGCTGACTTCATCTTCACCTTTTTCCTGCCCCTCAGCATCGCCTACACCGCCCTGGGCTTCCACTGGCCCTTTGGGAAGCTGCTGTGCAAGCTGAACAGCACCATCGCCTTCCTCAACATGTTTGCCAGCGTCTTCCTCCTGACCGTCATCAGCGTCGACCGCTGCGTTTCCGTGGCCTTTCCCGTCTGGTCTCACAACCGCCGGAGCCCGGAGCTGGCGGCCAGGATCGCCCTGGGAACGTGGGTCCTGGCCCTGCTGCTCAGCTCGCCGTACCTGGTCTTTCGGGACACCGTGGTCAGCTCGAGGAACACCACCAGCTGCTACAACAACTTTGCGCTGTCCGACGATTACTCGTCCGAGGCCACGCGGAGCCTGTGGAGGGTGCGGCACAAAGCCATGATCGTAACGCGCTTCCTGTGCGGCTTCCTCGTCCCTTTCCTGGTGATTCTCGTCTGCTACAGCGTCGTGGCTGTGAAGCTGAGAAGAAGGCAGCTGGCCGGCTCTGCGAAGCCCTACAGGATCATCACTGCTGTCACAGCCTCCTTCTTCCTCTGTTATTTCCCCTATCACGTCTTCTCCCTGCTGGAAATATCCAAAAACTCTTCCAGCCATGAGATGAAACTGGCCCTCTACATTGGCATCCCCTTGGTTTCCAGCCTTGCTTTCTTCAACAGCTGCATCAACCCCATCCTGTACGTCTTCGTGGGGCCGGATTTCAAGGAGAAGTTTCTCCAGTCCATCCTGTCCACCTTCGAAGGGGCCTTCAGTGAGGAGTCGGTCCTGGGCGGCCTGAGCAGCCGCAGGAAGTCCAGGTCTGCTTCGGAAGTGGAGGTCCCGAGGGTCTGAGTGTGGAAGGGGCCCTTCCCTCCTCTGCAGTTTCCCTAATTTCAGAGCTCTAGTGGCAGGACTGGGGGCTGTGAAGGGCTGTGCAGGCTAACAAGGTATAATTTGGTGTCTTGGGGGTATCTCAAGCACACTGTGACACAATGGAAAGGAAAGAACTCTCTGCAGCTGCAGCAAGGTGGGTTAAAGCAGCAGCATTTTACTCCTTGGGCCTTTTGTTCATGCATCTTTTAAAGAAACAGGGTTAAATGCAATGGCTCCGTGTATTTTTGTATAGTGACAGCTGGTAAGACACTCCCTAGGAAGGACAAATCGGTGGCTGTGCTCCTGTTACTCAGGCTGGATATACAGCATAACTATTTCTGAGCAATGATGGTTTGGGTTTGTGTTTGGCATCTTTCCAGCCCTTAAATAGTGGGGATCTGATATTTTGTGCTGTTGGTGAATGAACATTAAACCCCAATAAACTTCTCTAAAACATACCCAGCCTGTTGTGTTGCCTGTGGCATAAAATGTGTGTTGATCCAAGCTGACAGAGCAGGTTCATCTTTGGTAACAGAAGAACTACATAAAAAGAGTAAATACCCAGAATTTGGAACCAAACCACTGGCATTAACAGCAGCTCTCTTGAGTGAAGCAGACAGGACACAACCTGGGTGTGAGGACTTGCCTGGGGCACTTGGACCACGTGGATCTGATTGCCAGGCCCTGCTTATGGCTTATTGCTGGTTTTCAGACCTTTGGGTACATTTGGAAAACAGTGACTTGGAGGAGAAAGAAGAGCAAGTAGCAGAGCTGAGTCTGGTCAAATTTCACATTTGCAAACTTCCCTGGAAGAAGATGGTGGAGGTTTTCTTCCCAGGCTTCATCAGCTTCTGAAACTCTGAAATTTTTGTGAGTAGAAAATGTTGGTCACGTAGCAGGGAACGGTAGTGTTGAGGTGTTGTCAGTCCCAGCTCACCCCCCTCAGGGTATCACACCCCCCTTTCCTGCCGTGCCCAATTCACCTGTAAAACAGCCCAAGCCACCAATTGTCCTGTTCATCCTGTCAGAAATCTGCCTTGGAGCCTCACTGCTCTGATGGCTGGAAAATCTCTGACTCCCAGCCGGAATATATGAATTTACACGTGCCTCGCTGTTCTGCATGGATGATGTTACCGAGTGAGAGCTGTCACTTGGACATGCTGGGGATTAATTATGGGTCTGCTGGGCCATGCAATATTGAATGAAGGTCGTGATCCTGAAGGCACACATGTACTTAACCTTAAATTCACGCAGAAACCCGCTGAGAACGGGGAATGTAACATGACCATCCATATGTCAAGCTTGAGTGAACAGAGAGATTTTACCCTTTGCCACAAATTGCTGCCTGTCATCCAGATAAAACTGCAATGTTTGCTATGCAGCACGTAACTCCAGGGCTATTTACTTGCTCCTGTGGTGAACTACAGCATTGATTGCCATGTCAAGGTTGTGCAGACCTGCGTTTGCTCTTTCTGGTTTTCCTTATCTGTTTGCAGATCCCACGTAATTCCCTGTGACAAGAGACTTCACAAGTGCCGGACCAGGACCTCAGACTCCTGTCATGCCTCTCTCCTCATCCTGGCAGCCTTGAGAGTCAGGTTTTGAAGTGTTGACCTGGTTTGTGGTAGGGAAGAAAGCAATTTTCTGGGTCATTTAAAAATCCAAGGTGCGTAAAGATTCCCAAGGGAATCATGATTTGAATGAAGAAGGATGTCTGGGTGATCTAAGGAATTGCCACTGGAACAGCAGTAGGTAACTAACCTATGGAGCAGGATGTGGTTGACATAGAGATGGATCTGTCTGATCCCTGCCCTTTGTGCCATGGGAAACTGTGCTGACAGAATATGGGCCAGGCTGCCAAGGGACTTGTTTCGAGATAAATCTCCTGTTGTATTGAGTTCCCTCATGTTCAGACTATCTCATTACCACAGGGATAATTGTGGTAGTCCCTCATCCCCAAGTAGGAGGCGGGCTGTTCATTCCTCTCTGATACTTCCATTTGCCATATGCTTATCCAGAAAAGGCTGAATGAAATAAAAGGGGGAGGAATTCTCCACCCAGCAATCCAGCGAGGCTTTGGCAGCGGTGCCCCCCTCTGACGCAGCTCTGCTCTCAAGGCTCTTTCAGATGCCACAGGGTGGGTGGAACAGCCTGAACCCCCCAGTATTTGCAGTCATTGAGAAAGGTGCTGAACCCGCTGCCCTTGCTGGTGTGAGGCCCTCATTGGTCCCATGGAGGGGCCGATCCGACAGCCCTGCTCCTACAAACAGCAGGCTGGGCCGTGCGGAGCCACCGGAGCACAGGGGGGTTCAGGCAGAGCCACTGAGGTGTGGGGGGTTCAGGCTGTGCATGGGGAGCCTTAGCTGAGAGATCAAGCAAGATTTTAGCAAGAATCTAAGCCAGGGATTTCACCAGGAGCTGTTGATGCCTCGCTTTGGAGGAGAGACTATTGCAGGTGGCTCTGGAGCTGGGAGAAGCTGCAGAGGTATCAGGGAGGAAACCAGCCAAGGAGGACATGGCACGCGGTAACTCGAGAGGAGAAAGTGTTTTCTCCCTGGGACCTGGATGGGAGCACATGGAGATAGAAACTGGGCTCAGAATAGTTCAGAGGAGAGAGGGAGGAAGGAGTGGGAGCCTTGAAAATACCAGCAGCACCATAGTGAATACAAATGAGTGGGAGGGAGACTGCAGCAGGTGAGGAAGCTCTCATTAATGAGACAATAAAAGCCTCTGGGAAGCCTAACAGTCCCCCTGCCTCTCCTCTGGTGAGACTCTCCTGGTGAGTAAAATCTTTAAGTGTCCCACTCCTGATCTTGGGGAATTGATTTGTTAGATAAGGTTAAGGAAAGACAGTGCAGAGGTCTGAGAGCAGAACCTCTCCCACAGCTTGCTGAAATCAGACAGGAAATAATATGGCAAATTAGAGGATCTGTATTGGTAAAAAGCTTCTCTGGGCAGGAGAGGTGTTGGTAATAGTGTGAATAAGTGGTATAGGCTGAGCCTTACCCAGGTCTGCTCAGCCTTTCCTGGCACAACAGGTGGGTGAGGGTCCCACTCCCAGCATGGGGATTAACCTGCTCTTCCTGAGCCAGGGCTGGACCTGGTTGGCACTGAACTGGGGCAGACACAGGGGGCTCTTTGCTGGTTGCATTTGCTCCTTCCCTGCACCTGTCACAGCTCCTGCTCGGTGTACAGGGCAAGGCTGCTACCAAATTTTTCTTTACACCTCCAGGTTGTGCACCCAAAGCACAGGACCTGCTTTCCTGCACCGAATTCTGCTTTAATTTGCAAAGTTGCTCTGCAGTGACCAACTCGAGCCCTTCCTGTGTGCTCACTAACTGCCTGTACAGGGCAGGATGCCTGGGTGCTCTCTGTAGAGGGGCTGTAGCTTAGTGAGGTAAATGGCAAACCATGCTGGGAGCCAGTGGGTAGGACAGGGAGGAACAGAGCACTAACCAGTGTTTGGCACGAACTGCACAGCTGTTCAAATTGCCTTAAAATGACGTGACTTCACTGCCCAGCTCAACCGCTTTTGTTCTAAATGCGAATCAAAGGGCAAACCACAGCCACAAACATCAGGTGATGGATGTGAACAGGATGTGATGCAGACTTTGCAGGACAGAGCTGCCCACACCCAGCAAAGTGAAGACAGTCTGGGAACCAAGCAAGAGTGGCCACCACTGGCTCTTGTTTCAGGGCAGTGTTTGTCCAAACCCTTGCACCCAGCTCGAGCTGTGTGTCTGCAGGACCTGTTCCACACCGGGTATTCCCACAAACCTCTCATCTCTTTGCTGGGAGGCTGCTTGGAGAGAATTCTGTGTCCTGCTGGAGCTGGTGTGGCAGATATGTTAAACATTACAGGCTGACCCGGAACTGGGAGCACAGTTGGAAACAGGAAAACAAACTGAGCTCAGGGAGTCCTTCAGTCAAAGTTCTGACTCAGGGGAAACAGGACAGAGACAAATGAGTGGGTGCCTGTTTTCTGCAGACAGCCAAGCAGTAATATTTGATAAAGCAATGAGTGCTATCTACAGCCACAGCTCTTCACACAGAGAAAATGTGTTCTCTGCTCCAGGGCCTTTTTTAGGGCACTTTGCTTCTCAGACGTGGGGGATGCTATTTCCAGATCACTCCCAAGACATGATAAAATTACCCCTCCTTCCCTCCCTTCTGAAATGCATTTTATAGTCACTTTGAGTTCTGCCTCCCTAGCTGGGTAATATCCAAGGCAGAATCTTCTGGAAACTGGACTGGTTCCAGACAGTTTTCTGCCTGTTCCCCAGGCAGAAAAGCCAAGGGCAGGGGAGCAGGGAGGTGCTGGCCTTTGGGCTGTGCTCAGTGTGGAGGTGTCTGTGCTGCAGAACCTCCCTGCGGGCTCAGAGGGACTGGGTAGGGTAGAGGATGCTTTTGGGATGCCTTGTAGGATCCTCCTTCTGTTGGGGGAGACCAAACCTACTCTGTCAGGATCCAATCAGAGCGTTTCTTTGGTGTGCCATGTCTGATAGTTCTCACTGTCAGGTGGTTTGGTAGGTGAGTTTTCATATCCATCATTTTTTAAACAAAAACAACCCCAAACAAACAAACAGACAAAAAAAAGCCAACCTGCCTGAGCAGTGATGGATGGAGCTCAGCAGCCTGGATGACAGCAGCATTTATCTTCTCTCAGGTGATGGATGCAGGCTGTTGTGCAGCCAAGTGCTGGATGAGCAGTGCCCCTCACCTTGGCTGGACTAGGTGTGTATGGGGGGTTTTTTTTGCACATCTCTGCTTGCCAGGGTCACATCTGGATTAAGGACAACAAACCTCTGTGAGCCAGTGTATTCACACCCAGCAGATTTTCAGCATTCCTTAGATGACTGCTAATTGAATCATTGTGAATGAAATAAAATCTGTGTGCTCATCCTGAAGCAACTGTTGGTTAAACTCTTAGTGTTTGGATAGCATATTGTCAGATTAACAAATCCCTCTCTCTTGGGAGATGAGATTTAAGCTCACATTTCCTCTGATCAGGAAAACAGAAGTGAGAAATTGATTTTTTTTTTTTTCCTAAGAAAACAAAGGCAGTATCGTTATAAAAAGGATCGGAAGACAGGATCTCTTAGTTCCCGGTCCTGTGGCTTGCTTGAGCAATGTCAGGAATTCGGGGCAGCACAAATCAAACAGTCAGCAAGTTCTGGGTGCCCTGGGGTACTGAAAAATGCTTCTGGGGAAGGCTGCTAATTGCATTACGGGTCAGTGCTTCACCATGTGTCGTTTCTAGTTGCTCTGCATCAAACTGCTGTGCCCCAGCGGCCTGCAGCGAAACCCTGCGACGGAGACTGATGCCAAATCTCCTCTGCTCTGTGAAGAGGCCAACAAAAAGCTCAAAACCCCCTTCCCTTTTGTCCTAAAAGCCCTGAAACAAAAGAAGAACCTACTGGGGTCAGTGACCCCGAATCAACTGTGGAAGCAGCAGCCTGGAAACAGGAAAACACCGACTGGGAACGGTGGGGGTGGTGAGGTGCTGGGAGAGGTCTATTCTCTTACCCTCCAGTGCAATTTGGAAGGGGCTGTAGGAAAGTCAGAGGATCAGTGCTGCACCTCTGAGGGCACAAAGAGGCTGATGGCCTCTCTGCTCACATATTTCAAACAGATGTCTTGGCTTTGTGTGAGCCTGCAAGTGGAGCGCTCGACATCTGGCAGCTGCTCCTGGTTAAATGGCTTCTCCTTCCCCAGCTCCCAGTCTACTGAAAAAAGCAAAATGAGGAGGCAATTGATGAAGCCTTGGAATGCGTGAAGCAAGAAGGAAGCGCAAAATACAGGGAAAAAAACTCGGCCATGAGTATTTAAGGTGGAAAATGCAGCTTGTAATGGTTTCAAACTATGAATTTAACGTTGTCCTTTCATAGGCATGTTTAAGTGAGCCGTTCAGTGGCTCTTCCTCCTCTTTCACATTAAGGCCAGTGTGGACAGAAATACCTGCTGGGATGCTAGGCTTTGCTCCAGTGCACCCTGCAGGCCAAGAATAATCAAGTTTAATTGCTTTTCGTGAGAAAAGCTGCAACAGAAAGTACCTAATTTGTACCTTTATACTAAATGCTAAAATTCTGATCCATAAAACACTGTTCATCTTGGGCATACTGAGAAAGCATAATTTAAAATAGGTTCTAGCCATGCAGTTAGGGGAAAAACACGATGTTTGGGGTTTTATTTAAAGGAGGGACCTTTATTTGCTCTATGTCTGTGTGGGATGACTGTAACTTCGTCAAAGCAGTGAAAGGACAGTTTTGTCAAGGGTGTCCTGGGATAAAGCTAGTGGTTTTGTGTTTCGTTTTTTGGGGTTTTTTTAACAGGGTGTTTAAAATAAGAGTCTCACTGCAGATGTCAAAAGAATCTTCATGCAGTTTAATCAACGTATGTGGCAAGGGAAGTCCTGATTAAAGGGACTCTGGATTAACGATGTGTGCTGGTGATAGGGAACCGAGACATCACTGATTGTTTCTTTTCCTGATTTACTTTCCAGAAGTGCCCCTTCCCCTACAAACACTGCTGGGTCTGCGGTACCACGGGGAGCAGTGGCGATGGAGAGGATCAGCCACGGCGATGGAGAGGATCAGCCATGGCGATGGAGGTGCCCAGGGCAGCGTGGCAGCCGCCCCATCCATCCCTCTGACGGGTCTGCAGGCGTGGGAGCTCCGAAACACGGCACCCTGCGGACATCCACTGCTTCATTCCACGTGGACTTTGCACCGAGGGTCTTTTTTTGGTGGGTGGGAGCTGAACTGTGGCATTGTTGTTCAGGTTCCCACATGATCCCAGATGGGGACTCAGAAGTGCCCTTGTCTTTTACAGAGAAGGGGCAACAAGGCTTGTGAAGGGGTCTAGAAAACGTGTTTTCCGAGGGAGCTGGGTTTGTTTACCTGGAGAGGGTTTGTTTGAGCCTGGAGGAGGCTCAGGGGGGATCTCATCGCTCTCCACAAGCAACTGGAAGGAGGTTGCAGTGAGGTTGGGACTGGTCTCCTCTACCATCTGTGCAGTGAGGACTAGAGGAAACGGCATTAAGCTGAGAGAAGGGAGATTCAGATCAGATGCCAGCAATTTTTTTTTTCACTGTTCGGGGGTGGTCAGGCATTGCAACGGGCTGTCCAGGGAGAGGTGGTGGAGCCACCGTATCTGGAGGGTGTTTTCCAGAGGCGTCTGGATCTGGCGATGGGCGATACGGTTCAGGGGCTACAGTGGCAGTGCTGGGTTTGGCGGTCGGACTGGATGATCTTCAAGGTCTCTGCCAGCCTAGGTGGTTCTGTGATTCCATAATCCCGTCCCAGTAACGCCCCCCCATACACACACACCCCCCCTGAGGGGCTGAGGGGGAAGATGGCGCCCACTCCCCTCAGCGCGGCGCGAGCCCGTGGCGGGAAGGGAGGGGGGGGGGCGTCGCCCCGGGCCCGCCCCTCCCGCCCGCGCTCCCTCCCTCACGCCCCGCCGCCATCTTGCCCGCGGAGCACCGGAGGGGCTGAGCTCCGCCACCGCCTCTGCCTCTCCCTCTGCCTCACCCCCTCCTTCCCCTGCGGCCGGGCCGCCTTCTCCCGGGGCCGGGGGGCCGGAGCCGGCAGGTAAGGCCTTCAGCGAGGGGCCCTCCCGCTCGCTCAGCCCGCTTCAGCTGGCTGTGTGGGCAGGACATCCCCTCCTTCCCCACACACGGGGTTCTGCCGCCTGAGGAACGGGCTACGTCGCCCTCCCCTCAGGGGATGGGGACTCTCTCGTGGGCGGGCCCTTTGCAGGGCTTCTCGGGCTCCCCGGCAGCCCCACAGGTGAGGAGGAGCGGCGTGGGGCTGCGATGTGCACTGGCCGCTCCAGGAAAGGAGGGATGGGGTCCGCAGGGACCACAGGGCCTGTGTAGCCCACCTGCAGCAGCTGAAGGATTGTAGGGAAGCAAAGGCTGGAAGGGTCCCTTAGCCCAGTGGGATAGGTGAGTGTGGAGGGCCGGGAAAATTCCCTGTGGGGAGATGGGCAAGAGGGTGCAGATTCCCTCCATCCCACGGGGATCCGTTGCTTAGTACCATGGTTACCCCATACAGTTATTCCTGCCTCTGTTGCCTTCTGTGTGGACATGCTCAGTTCATGGAGGTGTAAAGCCATGTGTACCCAGTAATTGTTGTGTTCATCGTGGTGTGTCTGTGTAATTGTGTGCAGCCCAAAAGGCAGGGCAGGAGTTGGTGCTGCAGCCTCTGTGGTGCCTGTGTTCTCCCACACCTTGCCCACCTCAGACCAGAGGGTTTTGGTCCCACGTCCCCATGTGGAGTCACGTCTTTGCACATTCTAATAAAGTTCTGTCAGCTTGCTGTCATCCCAGCACCTGTTTCAAGGTTGGTTACTCTTTAAATGCAACTTCCCTCCCCACACACACCGTGGCCCACTTGTAGCTGCTGAAGTACAACCACAAGAAAGTCCTTGAGCTAAGGTTATGTGAAGAGCAACGTTCAGTGTTGCTGAATCCATCAGTATCTTATGGTAGGGTAAAATGCACCTCGAGCAATAATTGGGAACAACAATGCTTGTCTTTCAGCAGATCTCTTAATGCTTCTCGTTCCCCTCATCCATGGAATGAAGAAGACACACAGTTGGAAAAAAATAACTGCCTTCACTGTATGAATGCTTTTGCTAACAGGGAGAGTTGTATCCACGTTGTTCCCACACAAAGCTCTCAGGTGGTGTTCTGAGACCTTAAAAGCATTTCTAGTCCGTGCCTTCTTTGGAGCCGAGGTGGATCTTGAACACTGTTATGAATATTTGATGGGCGATGGCCATTAACATTAACAGCTGGGAGCTGCAGAGAGTAGCTGAGCAGCAGGACAGAGAAACACTAGCTAAGAATGAGGTTTATCCTTAAATTGTTGGGCACTTGGTTTGGGAGGGATACAGGTCTGACTTTTGAGGTGTGGGGGGCTCACCTGGTTCTAGTAGAGTGAAACATCCAGGTGTTCTGAGGCTGAAATATTTGCTGTTTGTGCTCACTCTCTGCACATTTTGGAGGTTCTGATGACAGGCAGGTTTTCATTCACAGCAGCTGAGCCGAGCTCAGCCTGGGCATCAAGAGATTTGTTGTTAGGGAGTTCCTGGCTTGACTCTGGCTCTTCATGAGAGTGAATCAGGTTCCTCTGTGACAAAATCAACCTGAGCAAGAGAATGTTTAGTTGCAAAGATGAGATGAGTTTTTTTATAGAGCCAGCCAGCTGTCCCTCTAATACAAAAATGGTTGGTTTTTCCTTTCAGTTGCTGTTATGGAGTTCTTAATAGTTGATAAACCATCAACTTACATGTGACTATTAGATAACTATGTTTCTCAGCAGAGAGGTGTTTATCAGGAAAGAAGTTACTGATTTATCTGTTAGTTCTTTCATAATTTAAATTAAGCCATTCATATTTAATATTTCCAGTCCTCTACATAATGCTGAAATGGGTGATGAAGAATTATATTTCTTAAACAGAACTGAGTGAAGTGCAGTAGCCCAGGACTTTTTGAGTTGAATTCTACTTTGGTCTCTCAGGGGCTGCTGGACAATGTGATTTTTTTTTTTTTTAAATTTTATTTGACTAAAATATTACAGCAGCAGAAGTCAGGAAAATGTAATTTACAAAGAGTAATAAAAAGATGGAAGCCCATCAAATCCTTGGCAGGATTAGTGGGTTGTGCCTTTATTTGAAACCAAAAAAAAAATGGTATTGATTTCCTCTTGATATTTTTCTCCTGTTTTCACAGGAGAATTATTAATCTCAAAGAATGACAGCAGCTACTTCAGGAAGTGGATTCGTTGTGCAAGAGGTCATTATTTACAGCTGCCAGCTTTATTGAACTCTTCCTTACGTTTCATCCCTATTTGTAAGTTTATCATTTATTGCAAAGTGATGAAAAGAGGCCCAGCTATGGAAACAGACTCTTCTAGGCAGGACCCAGGAGCTCTGTTCAGCTCCATTCCGCCCCTGACTGGCTTTGTGGTCTTGGAAAAGTCAATAAACTTTGCTCAGTTCTGGAAAATGAGCTGGGCAAGCTGATGGAAAAGAGGATCTCTGTTACTAGATGATAACCTGAGGAAAACAGCTCAAAATAGGGAAAAACCTGTTGAAGTTAGGAGGTTTTCAGGGGGGATCTTTGGAGAGCTCTAGGGAAGCTGTTAAAGTGGGGAAAACAAGTACTAAGGATGCTGGAAAATACAGGCTCCTGGGAAATTCTTCACTTTCTAAACAGGGAAAATTTGTTTCTTGTTTTGAACATTGTGACTCTAACTGACTTTTGATCTCTTGCAGTCTTGTAGAAGTGGAAAAACAACTTAGGGTTGATGTTTTGTGTGTCATCAACTGAATTTGGGGCCATCATGAATATCACCAAGGGTGGGCTGGTGCTGTTTTCAGCTAATTCCAATTCGTCATGCATGGAACTGTCCAAGAGGATTGCTGAGTAAGTACAGTCTTATTTTATTAATTCTGATTTCTCTGTTTAAGGAAAATGACATGGGAAAACTGCCATGGTTTGCAGGAGCCTGGAATGCAGAAACTGTTGCATTGTGGGATTTGCATCTGTTTTGTCCTTCCTTTCCCCATATTGACTTCTCCTTGTCTTCTGCTCCTGCAGGCGCTTGGGAGTGGAGATGGGGAAGGTTCAGGTTTACCAAGAGCCAAACAGAGGTGAGCATTTAATTAGCAAAACTGGAACTGTACCCAACACTGATGTGCATGTGTTGGCTCCCCTTTTCTTAGACTCTGTTGAGTTTTGCTATTGCAAATATGACATCTTTTTCTTCTTGGCAGAAACAAGAGTGCAGATTCAGGAGTCTGTGAGAGGAAAGGATGTATTTATCATCCAGACAGTTTCCAAGTGAGTAACTGTTTAAAGACCCTGTGCTGGCATTTGACCTGGGCTGTCCATAGGAATGCTTCTGGTTTTAATTTTAGTCCTCTCTTATGTATGTGATGCAGTGTAATAAGCTTAGATTAACTAGACAGAGTCTTGTCTTTGTTGTTATTTGTCTTGGGTTTTTTTTTAATATGTGCTCAAAGCCAACTTTGGCATAAGCAAACTTCTCTTATTTTACTTCTAAGTGAATAAATCAATGAAATATTCCCCTGGGTCCCTGCATTCTTTCCCTAAGTGTATTCTTTTCCTTATTTCATTCTCTTTAAATTTTTCCCTTTTCAGTTGCCCATCTCTTGCACCATCACAAAGCTGTAAATGTAGGAGGAAAATTTCCTGGGCAATGTGTCCCATGATTCAGGAAACAGCATCTTTTCAGTGAACTTTACAAATGCTGAGACTCCTTTTTGAATGGCAACAGAAATAATAGGTCTTAGTTGGTGGTCACTTCTCTTAGAGAATAGATACTAATTGTTAAGTATTTAGCCTGCTCTTGGCTTAAAAAGAGAAGAATATGTTGTAAAGTACAAAATTTTTTTTTTTAAAAAAGCATATCTATATGGAAAAATACATATAATTTGTTTTGTGGACAACAGAAAGTGATATTAGGGAGTAAATAATGGACTGCTTTTTACAACAACACCGTCCAACAAAAACTGCTGAATTGTCCAAAATGGCCAAGTGAAAAAAGTAAAGAAGTGTAATTCTGGTGAAGAATTCAAGTGCTGGGCCCAGGGCACTTGCCATCCTGAAGTGCAGAGCTGGAAGCTCAGTGAGGTTTGCTCAGTCACCATTCTTTGAGCTCCCCTGGCATGAAATTCTTGGGATGGGTATAAATGCTGTGTCGAATACAGGATCTTTGTGCTCGGGGTGCAGAAGCGGCTGTTTCTCGTTGCAGGGATGTGAATACCACGATCATGGAGCTGCTGATCATGGTGTATGCCTGTAAAACCTCCTGTGCCAAAAGCATCATTGGGGTGATCCCCTACTTCCCATACAGCAAACAGTGCAAGATGAGGAAAAGGGGCTCCATTGTCTCCAAGTTACTGGCCTCGATGATGTGCAAAGCTGGTAAGAGTGGGGGCTGTTCTGAAATTCTCAGGGCAAGGGGGGCTCCTGTTGTCACCTCCCAGGTTTAGAGAGGTTCGTGCACAGACTGGGACTCTGTTTAAAAATAACTGCCGAGTTTTTCATGTGTTTAAAACCCACATGAAAAGGAGAATGTAATTAGAAATGTTTCTGAACGGTGAGTTCATAAAGAACCCAAACTTGAAGCAACCATTTTACGCTGAGTCCTACTGAGTTGGCAGAATGAGTGTGGTGGGCTCAGCTGCTGTGGTATCCATCTCTTAATACCATTCTTTATGTTTCTAACACTCTTGAACAGTTGTGCATTGTCATTTCTGGCCTGTTTTTTACCTGTTGGATGAATGCACTTTGTCCTTTACATTTGAGACGATGTGGGAGAATGAGACTATTCATTTCCACAGCCTTCAGCACATTTTCTGCTCCTTTTCTTTTGCTCTCATCCCTGGGGAAAATACAGGCATTCATACCAGACACAGTGTGAGCTGGTTTGTTATTTTGAGAGAGGTGGGTTTTGGTGTTTAGGAGTTGGGCCCCTTTTCCAGGAGTTCAGGACTGCAATGAGTGTGCCGGGGTCTGTGACACAGGACAAATGAGTGCTTCCATATTGTCCTGTGGAGAAGGATCTTACCTGCCTCAGTGTGGCACTACTGAGTCACTTATGAGGAGTGTTCTGAGCTTCTTGTAAAAAGCCACTGTAGAAGTCTCAAAACATGTTAATGCCCATGTGCTTAAGAGGGACGTGGTTAATTTGTTGTGTACTTTCACTGAGAGTAATGTTGTTCTCATGCAGCTTGGAGATTTTCTGGACAAAGCTTCAGTGAAACTTAGAAAAATAAATACTGTCTTGTTCTCTCTTCTTTTTCTTAATGTGCTTCTCTCTGTGTATTGTTCTTTTCTTTTTTAAGGACTAACTCATCTTATTACCATGGATCTCCATCAGAAGGAAATTCAGGGCTTCTTCAACATTCCAGTTGATAACTTGAGAGCCTCCCCATTTTTGCTCCAGTACATCCAAGAAGAGGTGAGGAAGGCCTGCTGTTACAGTTGCTTTTTTAAATTACCTTTTCTGTCATGTCTCAAGGCATCTGAAACAAATTCCTCTGAAAAGATTAACTCTTCAAACCAAACTTTAAGGGGAAAGGATCAATTTGGGGCAGGGAATGATGTTGGGGCAGTTGATTATTTTCTTCCCCACGTGCTTAACATTTACTTCCATGGAGAGCTGGTGTTTTCTTCCCTGTGCAGCAATGCTGCTCTGCCTTCTGAGATATGTTCCCCTAATACTGGAAAAAAAAAAAAGTTAGGATTTCTGTGCTCTTATGTCCTCTTCCTTTCCTGTTCCCAGTTTCCTTGATGTTTATCGGATGGAGTGCTTGTGTGGGTGTAATTAATGTCTCATGGTAAAAGCCACTTTGGGAATTGTAAACTAGGAGAGGGCCTATTGATCACGCTCTGAAAGCGAGCCCAGGTGATTTCTGGTGTGGAAATCTCACCCACTGTTTGTTCAGCGTGTCTTGACTTGAGCAGCTTAACTTGGGGTGTTCTGAGCTTCCATTTCTCCATCTTATTTTTACAAGTGCTTTGAGAAGGGCTACTTGGTAGATTCATCCGTACAAATTGTGCAAATGATAATTGTAGGTATAAGATACATGTTAAGCCTCTGACTAATGATAATTTGGAATAAAGCAAATGCTTTCTTCCTGGTGAGAGAAAAGGTTGAGCTCACTCTTACTTTTGGTTCCAAGCTATTTCTTTTTATAGAGATATGAATGCCCCAATTTAACAACCAAAACGAAACACGCCCCACCCCACCCCCCTAAGAAAACCCAAACCCACATGATTTTGTTATGACAGTGTTAAAATCTGTCTGGGGAATCAGTTACCATTTGAAGCTCTCTTTATTTATTTCTTTTGGTAACAGAGTCAAAGAGGGTGGCAGAACAAAACCCCAGGCTCTGGCTTTGCCACAGTCATTCATCTTGTGTTCCAGGGGAGAAGTGTTGCACATTGTAAGGACTTCCTAAGTTAAAAAAAAAAAGAAAAAAAAAAGTGGAAAACCAAGTATGCAGGCACAAGAGAGGTTGTGCCTTTATATGTTGCTACAGTGTGTGGTTTATAGTTGACAGCAAGATCGTGGTCCTGGTTTGGTCTTGAAGCACATTTTGATTCATGAGCTTTTAATGGCTTACTAGGAATTGTTGCAGCTTTGAGTCTGGCACTGCTGTGCAGTCTAACAAGTGAACATTTACAGAGGGATCTGAAGAATGTGCAGAGAAGTCTTAAAAGACACTTTCAGTTCTTTATTTCTTCATTCCTCTGCTCGTCCATGAGGGGACTTGTTAAAACTAGAGTTGGCTGACTGGATCTAATCACTTGGGATCTACACTGGCAAGTGCCTTGACCAGCCAGGTCATTTACAGTATCTTAAAACTGTGATCCAGTGCTGCTCAGGAGGAATTCAGTATTCATCACACTCAGTGTTGCGGGATGATGACAGTCCAATCAGTGAAATTCATGTGATATGAAAATAATTTGTTGAGTTTCCTCCGTATTGCTTAGAAAATGTTGGGTACTTGGTGTCTTCTCTTTCCTTTGCGTACAAGTTAATCCCACAGTGAAGTAGCTCTTTGTTATAAGGAGTTGTTGATATCTTACTGCCTTGTGGATGACATTTCTGGCTTTCTGACTTCATTTTTGAAGAGCTGAGAGAACAAATTTGGTAATTTGGCAGGGGAAAAATGAGGCAATGGTGTCTGAACAAGATCAAAGCCTTTTATTATGTCAAGTGACAGGCCCTGCCTTGTCCATACCTTCCGTCATGTTAATCTTTGTAGCCTCTTGTATAACAAAGTGTTTGTGAAGGACAGAACATGCTGAATTCCCAGTGTTAGAGGTGGAGTTCGTAACATTGTGGGTTATTAACGTCCTCAGGGAAGTTCTTGTTTTCATTTGATTAGGTCCTTGCCCAAATTTTTTTTCTTCCCCGTGCTCGTTTCGGGGAGAGCTTTTGGAAATGCTCAGCCTGTGCAGTTTGTGTGTTTGAGGAAAAGATTGTGGAAGAACTTACCTTGTCTGTGTTTGCAGAAAATCCAGTTGTTTCTGTGCTCTGAAACAGGTATTTGACATCTTGACAACAAGGTGGTGAGCATCATGACAGGGTGTCAGCCCCCCAGATTTGTGAAATGACGTCTGCAACAGATCAATCTGCAGGTCCTTTAACATTGGGAGTCTGAGGATGGGCCTGCTCTGTAGGACTTTGCTTGGCTGAGGACTGGAGAGAAGGCCAGGCAGGTTCTCCTTCAGCTGCTTTCCATAGGGATGGATCATCCCAGGGAAGCACAGTGAAGGAAAACCCTGAGCAAGGAATGGGGTAAGATGAGATATTAGAGAGAGCAAAGGATACTGTGGAAAGGAGGACTGGAAGTGTGAGTAGTGGAAGGCTTCAGAAGTTACAGACAAGGCAAGATGAGTCTGATGTGGAGTCACTGTTTGCAGGGAAAATAGAGATGAGGATAAGAAACTTTTGAGAGATGGGGAGTAAAATAGTGGTTAAATGGAGAGCAGGAGTCTGGAGTGAAAAACCAGTGTGAGAGTGGGGCGGGGGCAGCAAACTGAGGAGCAGGTTGTGTTTGTGAAACGTGACTGAAGTCCCTGTCAAACCTCAGAAGGAAACCCAGACTTCCTGGCCTTCTCCCTCTGGTGCTGTTGAGGTTTGCAGCAGCATCTCCTCGTGCTGGTCAGTGTGGGGGTCAGTTTGCAGCTCTGGGAGACTGTGACTCCAGGAGAGTGCAGTGAACATGGAACTTTCATCCCTTCTGATTGCCCACAGAAATAGTCGGTGTTTTGTGGTGGAGAGGTGTGACTTTTCTCGGTGTGCTCTGTAAAGCAATAGGAAATGGGTGAAATGCTGTTTTCAAGCGATGAAAGACAATTAAAGTTGAACAGGAAACTTTAATTTTGATGGTTTCCTGTTTCTTTCAACACTTGTCTGCCTAGCCTGATGTTCTAAAGCAGTTACTTTTCTGTAATCTGTACTATAACATGGGGGTTATGAAAGGTACAGTTCCAATATCTGAATTGTCTAAATACCTGTTTTTACTGAGCTGTCAACTCTGATCACTTACCATGAATTCCTGAGGTTGCTTTCTTAGGTGAAAATGTTCGATGCTTAAAATTCTTCTGGCAAAATAAAGTTCTCTGATTCTTACTGAGTTTAAAATTTGTCTGAAGATATGAAGTGGACATTGCTATCTGTTATTTACTACAGATACCAGACTACAGGAATGCTGTAATTGTGGCCAAATCTCCTGCGTCTGCAAAGAGGTGGGTAAGATCTGCTCTCTTGCCTTAGAGCAGGAAATCTCTGTCGGGATTTTGTTCTTAGGACCAAGTGAAGGACAGATATCCAGTAATTAGAAGATGCAGCCTTCAGACCCCTCCCAGTTCTGCCTTGTCAGCTGTGTAGCTTTTACATCATCGCTGTAATCACAATAAGTCTAAGGAGAGTTAAAAAAAACAAACAAGGAGAGTTAAGAAAACAGACAAGAGGATGAGGTAAATCAATGCAGTGCTTATGATAAAAAAGGGTTTTAATCATGTCATATTTGTGTGCATTTACATTATAAAATTCCTGCTGTAATTGAAGAAAAATGGCTGGAAATGTAATGCCATTAATCCAAGGGATTGCCTAATGTGAGCATAACTATAAGAACATGGTTGATCCGATCCTAAATGCAGATGGTGAAACAGGATTTGATATTCGAGAAGATTTTGATTGTGAAGTTCTTGTGGTTGAATGACTGTTCTTAATCCATGAAGCTTTTTAGTTGACTGTTCCCAAACTCTTTGGAATTACACTGCTGTCAGCAGGTGCTGTAAGAGCTGGACAATGGTTTAAGAGATGCTGTTATTTGCTGTGGTGACAAACCAAGAGTTTGTTGAAGAGTTATTTAGACTTTCATGCCAAGGAATTTGTGATACTTTGTGTTTTTGTTATTTTATGTAGCAATTCAACTTGTGTCATCTTTGCTCTCCAGCAGTACTTTTTGTGATTTCTTTTGTTTTGGCCAGTCATTTTCCATTTGTTGCTCTCCCATTTCTTTTCCACGGTGTCAGTGTTGCCACTTGGGTGTAGACAGGCTTTTGTTGAAGCATTTTAACACTCACATAGTAATTGTCGATGCCAGCAAATAATCTGTTAAAACTGACCAGACAGAGGAGTTGCCCACACAGGGATTTGGGGAGGAGACGTTCCCAGAGCTGTGTTGTTAAACATCATCATGTGGACCTATGACCATTCAAGGGCAGTGTTTGAAGAGCATTGTACTGGAGAAAGGGTGATTGGACATTTCAACCTAATCCAGGCTGAAAACAATCCAGGAAAATACTTGTGAGGAATGCCTGCTTGTGAAAAAGAACCTGTGCTTGGTGGAGCTCAGAATGTTTCTGCGGTTTCTGAGCTCACTGGAAAATTAATAAATTATTTTGCTCTTACTTTGAACTTTGTGCAGTTTAATATTGCATTTTAATGTAATTATTATGGTTTTATTGATAGGATTATGCTTGCTAAGTCATAACTCTAAATGTTTGGAATAATAATTACCTCTAATTAACTACTTGCAAGAATATTGTAACTGTGTGATAACCACAGGGTGGAAGATTCTTCATTTTTAATTAACTGAGTATCATGACGAGCAAATTATTCTCTGGACTCTGGATTGTTTGGATAGTGAAACAAGGCTTAAGGATAGAGGAGGTGATTCAGGCACAGGTCTGAGGTGCTGATGGTAGAGCAGAGTGACTCAGTTCAGATGTGCTGGATTCACTTGGACCAGAGGAGGTGAGATGGGGTAGCTTGGGCAGGATCCCAGACTTTGGGTGTGCAAGGTAAGGTGGGATAGATGTGCTAATTTACCCTTGCTGCTATCCAGTATCTGGGATACAAGCACTGTCTGTGAATTCCTGTTTTCCTGGCTCTCTGCTTTCCCCACTCCCCCAGCTAACCTCACACTTCTTTCCAGAAATTTCTAATTTTAGTCAAAGAAATGCTGTGCTGCAAAGGAACTTTATGTCAGCTAATAATAAAATCCAGGCTGTTCAACTTGAAGTGTGGTTTTCCAGGCAGAGTGATCGTCTGGATCCCTCTTTTCCACAGGGTATCTCAGGTTGTGTCAGCAGGTCAGGGATATTGTCTTTATTTAGTGCTAAAAATAACTTTTTTTTCATATGAATATATATTTTTTTTCCTATTAAATGTAGACAATCCAGACATCAAGAATGTTCGTGGTTACTGTTAGATGAGACATCCTAAAGCATTGGGATCCCAAGGATGCTGAAGGCTAGGGAATGGTTTCTGGCTGTTTGGCAAAGCAAAAGGGAGTAATCAGAATTATGTGACTTGCAACATTTATCCTGTTGCTTCAAGGCCCATGTGGGCACTTCCAGGGTTGTTCTGACTCACAAACCCAGTGGAATCAAGATATTAAGGGGCAAGTGGTTCCTTCCGTGTGTTCTCCTAAAATTTTAGGATCATTCCATTTTCCTCTGAAGCGCTAGAAATAAAACAGAAATAGGTTAGGATTGTATGCAGGTGAATGATTTTAAATTTAACACAGCCCTGGTGTTTTTGAACCCTTTCCCTGCAGGGCACAGTCGTTTGCCGAGCGCCTGCGGTTGGGAATCGCTGTGATCCACGGGGAAGCCCAGGACGCAGAGTCTGACATGGTGGATGGTCGGCACTCGCCACCTACAGCCAAATACGTAGCTGCTATTCACCCCAGTCTGGAGATCCCCAGTAAGTAAGTGTGTGTGGGAAAGTGTTACCTGGCTTTTTTTTTGGGGTGGGAATGGGGCTGGCAGTGATGGACCATCAGAAAGGAACTGGTGGTGTCTGCCAGCCACTCTTGTTTCTGTGCTAAAATTGAGATTTCATTGAATTGGTTAACAATTTGAGTGTCAATGAATGGAGTTAATATTTTAACTAAGCTGAAAAAGATCACTTATGTGTTAAAATCTTGCTGGTTTTCCCAGTAATGCTGTTAAATAGTTATTCATCCATGTCTCTCTCTTAACAGTGGTGACCCAGCAGACATTTCCATTATTAAAGTAAATTATATTAACTTTCTCTTTTCTTTCTCCTTTCTACCCCTCTAAACCCATTTGCCCTTAATCAGTGCTGATTCCCAAGGAAAAGCCGCCCATCACAGTTGTTGGAGATGTGGGAGGAAGAATAGCTATCATCGTGGTAAGATGTCCTCACTTCTCATCAATGACATTAAACATGTTAAAGTTGAATAAATCAAGTAAATATTCTGTATCAGTGTCGTGGTTTTGCCTGAAGGTGCCGACGAGAAAGATGGAGAGGGACGATTTATAAGGGCCTGGAGTGACAGGACAAGGGGAATGGCTTTAAGATGACAGAGTGGGGTTAGATTAGATATTAGGAAAATATTCTTCCCTGTGAGGGTGGGGAGGCCCTGGCACAGGTTACCCAGAGAAGCAGTGGCTGCCCCAGCCCTGGAAATGTCCAAGGCCAGGTTGGACGGGGCTTGGAGCAACCTTGGTTAGTGGGAGGTGTCCCTGCCCATGGCAGGGGGTGGACTGGGTGGAACTGGGTGATCCTTAAGATCCCTTCCAACCCAGACCGTTCCATAACTGTGTGATTCAGTCATGGTGTCCCTAAAGCAGGGTGTTATCTCTGGGCTTGTCATAAAAAAGGGCAGTTTTCTGATAGTCTGGGTTCTGTTGTACTTGCTCAGGCTGCCCTGTCAGTCTGAGTGCTGCATGACCTGTGTGAGGCCGTGGTGACTCGGCGGTGTTTTGGCAGGATGACATCATCGATGACGTCGACAGCTTCCTGGCTGCGGCCGAGACCCTCAAGGAGAGGGGGGCTTACAAGATCTTTGTCATGGCCACCCACGGGCTCTTGTCTTCAGACGCTCCCCGGCTGATCGAGGAGTCTGCCATCGATGAGGTGAGTGTGGGTTCTGAATCCTGATCAAATGATTGATTGGTTTTTTTTAAGGAAACATCTCCATGTCCTTAAGCTATAGCTGGAGAGGGAAACGTGGGAAATGGTGAGACGCTGGACTGCCAGTGTCAGTGGAGCTTTCCCCTCAGCGTGGGGGCTGTTTTTGTACCTTCCTCTGGCCCTGTTGGCAGAATGAATGAAAGGAAGGAAGGACAGTGCCATTAGTATCCATGGCAACGTGTGGCTTTTCCTAGGATTTTGACCCTGAGATTAATGTAAAATCTTACCAGCAATGGTGGCTTGATAGGATCTGTGAAACTCCCTTTCACGCTTCCAATAGGGAAGGTGGAAAACATAAAGAAGCTACTTCCTCCTGATTGTTTTTTCTCCCTCTAGGTGGTTGTCACAAACACAATTCCACACGAAATACAGAAACTCCAGTGCCCTAAAATCAAGACTGTGGATATCAGCATGATCCTCTCGGAAGCCATTCGCAGGATCCACAACGGGGAGTCCATGTCGTACCTTTTCAGGAATATAGGACTGGATGATTAATGCTGCTTACTCTAAAGAAACACCCCGGGCCAAACTGGAAGCGAACAGAGAACGAGCTGTGAAGCATCGTGCTTACCTTAATCTTTCCATTGAGCCACTTCTTGTTTTCTCTTGGTTTAAGTATCAAGGTAGAACAGTTTTGAAGAGCTTGTTTTGTTTTGTTTTGTTTTTTTCCTTTGCAGGGTTTTTTGTTTGTTTTTTTTCGGGGGAGGGGTGGAGGGGGTGGGAATAAACATTTTACAAAAAAAACTGTTCTAGTTGCTTTTAGGTTAGTTGCACTATACACGATGGAAAAATCCCACAAAACACTTGAGGCAAGAAATTGGCTTCTAAATTAAGCATTCCTTTTCCAAAGCTGCTTGCTACAAGTGCTTTAAATGATAACAAAATGGAGTGACTGTATAATATTTGCATTTCAAAAGCCAAAAAGGTTGTACTGTTGTATGCAGTTCAGTGATTTTGTAGGAGTGCTTTTATAGAAAAGCATATGGAATATGCACCTGTATTTATTTTCTGCGACAAAGAATAAAGACTTGTTTTGTGTGAGCTTTCTAAAAATGTTCATGTGCTGCTCCCTTGTCTTCCAAACTCTGTCCCCTTAAATATTGGCAGGTGTTGCAGCTGGATATCCAGGAGCAACAGGGATTTGATGCTGGCACAGGTTGCCCAGAGAAGCTGTGGCTGCCCCGTCCCTGGAAGTGTCCAAGGCCAGGTTGGAGCAACCTGGGTTAATGGAAGGTGTCCTTGCCCATGGCAGGGGGAAGGAATGTTTAAAGTCCCTTCCAACCCAAACTATTCAGTGATTCTGTGACTTGGAATATTGTGGGGGTTGGAAATTCAAGCTGGTAAGATCCAAATCAGCTCACCACAGGTAAACTGGGTTTTTCTGAGGTTTCTTGCTTGGCCTGAATGCGTGGATGAGTTAAAAAAACACTCTGTAGTGCAGAGCTGAACTTGTTCAGGTTTGTTTTCCCGACCATCCCTGGGCAGGTGTGGGTGGAATGGCCAGACAGCTTCCAGAAGGCTTCCAGTCCCAGAGACTTGAAGTTCCTCACCTGTTGCACAGAGAGCAGTGGTGGAATTTAGAGCATTTAGAGGTGGTTTGGTTTAATCTCCCCATCGTGTCCTACAAATGAGTATAAAACTTTTGGCGTGTTCACAAGTGAAAATTAACCTTTGTTGACACCAATTCTCTGCTCGAGACAAACTTCCAAGGGCTTTGGAGGATTCATTGACTTCTGAGGAGAGAAGCAGGTGTTTTCCTTAATGTTAATGGATACACCAGGCTGATGTATTCGCACTTGTCAGTGCTTTGGATGTGTTAATGCGGGTCACATTCCAGCGGGGCAGCGAGGGGGAAGGTCAGCTCCTCTCCCGGAGCTGCTCCTGCTGCCACGGCGGCTCCTTCAAAGGGAGAGGAACGCTGAGCTGACTCAGTGACGGGCACATTTAGTTGCACTGTGTTTATTTTATTAGTGAGACCTTGTGGAAGTGTGCTGCCACTTGGGAGTGAGCCAGGCGAGCCTCCAGCGCAGCAAACTGATGGCTAAATACCCAAAAAACGTGGAATTCAAAGGTGGTTTCCTGTGTCTGTTCCATTTTGGCCTTTAGGGAATAACAACGTCTTCCTTTCTCCACAGCTCCCTGAAAGGAGAGTGCAGACAGTTGGTGGTCTCTTCTCCCAGGTAACAAGTGACAGGACAAGAGGAAACGGCCTCAAGTTGCACCAAAGGAGATTTAGGTTGGATATTGGAAAAAATTTCTTCATGGAAAGGGCTGTCAAGCACTGGAACAGGCTGCCCAGGGCAGTGGTGGAGGGATTTAAAAGCTGCGTGTAGATGTGGCACTTGGGGATGTGGTTTTAGTGGTGACACCGGAGTGCTGGGTTAATGGTTGGACTGGATGATCTTGGAGGGCTTTCCCAACCTAAATGATTCCAGGATTTGTGATCCCCTCTGCGAGGGTTTCTCCTGGTCAGCCCTTGCTGCTGTTCACCCAACTCCTGTGTTCAGTCACTCCTCTAACACAGCAAACCCCCAGCCTTGCCTCGTTTCATGCAGAGCAGTTCTGGTATTGATGAGGCCTCAAGAATTCGGGGACAAACTGCATCCACGGGGCTGGAGTGCTGGTCCTTTGGCTTTTCACTGGAGTGGTGGGGAAGGAGTGCAGCCTGTACAGCATCACTGGGACATTTTTTGTACCTGTTCATTTGCGAGGCACCAAAACTGAGGTGGTTCAGCTCCTGGGGGAGCAGAGGGGCAGGAGGCAGCAGAGCCCACACTGCCCACCCAGGCGCCTTTGGAAGGGCAATTCCTGCTGCCAGGTTGTTTAATGATAAATGCCCTCGGGCTGCTGACGAGTTACTGATTGAGTGACTGTCCATGTGAGGCTGAGGATGAAGAAGGAGGCAGAGGGATGATGGAGAGCAATTCCACTGCAGGAGCCATTTCCCCTTCACAGCAGTTCAGCCTTGCTGACCTTGTTGTGGTGGTGGCTTATTTTTCCTTAAACGTTGGCGTGGGAATATGGGTAAGAGCCTTTTTTTTCTCTTGTTCATTTCTGCTTTCTTGTTTGAATGGTGGTTTTTTTTTCAGGGCTGGCTTTTCAGTGAAAGCCTCCTTTATTTTCTTGCAGTTTTCACTTGTGTATTTTGTGTGTTGTGGGTGGGGGAGCCAGGCTGGGAGAGCTGGGGATGTTCACCTGGAGAAGAGAAGGCTCCAGGGAGACCTGAGAGTCCCTTCCAGGGCCTAAAGGGGCTCCAAGAGAGCTGGAGTGGGACTTTGGATGAGGGGGAACGGCTTCAAACTGGCAGAGGGCAGGGTTAGATGGGATATTGGGAAGAAATTCTTCCCTGTGAGGGGGTGAGGCACAGGTTGCCCAGAGAAGCTGTGGCTGCCCCATCCCTGGAAGTGTCCAAGGCCAGGTTGGACAGGGCTTGGAGCAACCTGGACTGGTGGAAGGGGATGGAATAAGATGACCTTTAAGGTCCCTTCCAACCCAAACCATTCTGGGATTCTGTGGTTTGCTCTGTTTGTGCAAACCCTCTGCCCCTTTCACCCCCTATAAAAGGCTCCTACAGCCTGGGAACAAGGTGGAATCAGCACAACCCTCTGTGTGCTGGGTGTGAGCAGCTCTGCCCAGTGACTACTACAAGGTGTTGAGCCAGATGCCCTGATAACAGAGACAACCCTCAGCTGCAGCAGCTTCACACAAAGACTCTCCAAACCCATTTATTCTGCCCTGCAGAAAAATCCTGGCCAAAGCTGGGCCCTCTTAGCCAACCTGTCTGCTGGGGATGGCACAAGGACAGGCACATCCCCTCGTGCTTCCCCCTCTCAGGGAGCTGCCTTTGCCAGTCATGGCTCCAGGTTCCTGGGGTGCAGCCACCCTTTCGTGTAATTAAGCTCGAGTTGCAGAGCTCCCATTAATTACTGAGTCTCCTGTCTCTTGGCTTCTTGTCTGGGAGACTTGGGTCTTGGTGTCTTGTCTGGGTTTTTAGGGAAAGGGTGCTCTGTGCTGATCTTTCCTCCTCCCAGTCTTCCTGCAGGGTGAACAGGAACACGGTCAGTGGCTATTTCCTTGCTGGCAGAGACATGGCCTGGTGGCCAGTAAGTAGACACTTCTCTGTCCCTCTCGTGGCACCCTGGGCACAGGGACATCCTGGGCACCACTGTCCCTCCCACCAAATCCCCTCCCTGCTTCCTCCACTGCCCACGCTTTCCCCCACCCTGCCCACCTCCTACTGCCAGGAATTGTGTCCTTGGAGCTGCATTTCCCTTCTCCTTGCACGAAGGGTGCTCAGAGCTTGGGGAGGGATCCTTGGAGTCCAACATCCATCTCCACCGTCCCTGCGTGCTCCTGGTTGCTCCAACAAATCAGGGTTGTCCCAAGTTTGATTTTTTCCTTCTTATTTTGATGCAATCCTGACAAACTGGCTGTAGGTCCTTCCCATGTCTGGTACTGGCTCCCCCCAGGAGGGGCAGGGTGAGTGGCCACCTTGACAAACACACCAACACTCCTCATCCTCCTGAAGTCCATCCCAAACCCACCAGAGATGTCCAGATGAGCTGGATCATGGGCATGATGGTTCCTAGGACTCACAGCCACCTGAGTTTTACCTATTAAGGGATTTTCTTGCCAAAAAAAAAAAATCCCACATGGGGGCCCTTTGGCCACGCTTTGTTTCAGAAGTGGAAGGGAGATCTGTGCCCTGTTGCTCCCGTTCAGGCATTATTTTTCCCCTCCTCCTCCTTCTCCTGAATTATCCCCTCGGGGCTGTGCTGGTGGGGAAGCCCCAAAGCTGGTCCGTGGGGGTCCAGCGTTTGGGCAGCTGCAGCCTCTCCTCTGCTCCCCCAGATCGGGGCCTCGCTCTTTGCCAGCAGCGAGGGCTCCTGGCTCTTCAGAATCGCTGTCGCCGGCTTCGAGTGGAATGTAAGAAATGTGTCATTAAGGAAATGAGTTTGTCGCAGCAGCAGATGGCCCATTTCACTGTCTTGAAAGGCTTAGGAGGAGCCCCGTGCAGGGGGTAATTAACACAGCCCTGCTAACTCAGCTTCTCCAGCTCGTGTGTACGGGGAGCTTGGAGTCAGCTCAGCTCCACGTGCTCAGGGAAAAGGACACTTTGGATCCAGTTTCCTAATCCAGCCCCTGCAGACCCTGACAGGGAAGTGACTGAATAGGTCACCCATTCCCTGCTTCCCTGCACGTTGTATCCAAGGTCCTTGGGTTCTGCAGAAAAAAAAAAAAAAAAAAGGCATTTGGCTTGTGTGGTGCTCAAGGGGTTGGTGGGAAATGTCTGGTCAGGAGCTGAAGGGCTGAGGGGAGCAGGTTCCTGCTGGCAGGGGTGCTGGGGGGTCTTCACCACAACCCTGTGCCTGCAGTCTGAAGCCATTTGGGGGTGTAAATGTGCCCTCAGGGGTGAGCCAGGGTCAGGCCAGGAGCAGAGCCAGGGTCTAGGACTGCAGTCAGTGTGGAGCTGCAGCAGGATCCATGTTTTTTCTGACTGTGCCACATTCCTCCTTCCCAACAGGCGACTTCTGCTCTTCTGGCACTCGCCTGGGTGTTCGTGCCAGTCTGCATCTCATCTGGGGTATGTACAGCTGTCCTGGGCCTGCTGTGGGGACCCCTGCTCCCAGGGGGACTGTCACCACTGTCCTGTGGGACTCCTGAGTCCTGCTCTGGGCATACTGCTGTCCTCTTGCCCCATCCCTGGAGGGTGGGCCCTGGACAGGGCAGTGATCTCTCTCCCCCCTGCAGATTGTCACGATGCCCGAGTATCTCCAGCGGAGGTTTGGAGGGGAGAGGATCCGGGTGTACCTCTCCAGCCTGTCGCTCCTGCTCTCCATCTTCACCAAAATCTCAGTGAGTAGCTCCCCCTGAACTTGGTCACAAATCCACAACTGATTTCTAGCTATCAAAAGGTTAATTTGGGGCTCAAGCCTTGTGTAACCAAATCCGGGGAGAGCGGATGCTCCAAGAGGCAGTAGGACAAGTGGGAATTTGTGGGCAGGGGCTCTCTGTGACACCCCATGAGTTCTTAGGTAGATCCAGCAGTGATGTCCCTGTCCACGTGGTCCAGACAGGGCATGTCAGGATTCCCAAACCCCCCTTGTAGCAGAGGTTGTGGGTGAAATGTGCTCCGAGGTCTGGGTTGGTCTCCGTGCTCCGGCAGTGATGCTTTCCAGCATCCCCAAGGGAGAGCCAGGCACTGAACTGGGAATGCTTTCATTGCTTTAGGGAGCGTGGGTGGGTTTTCTGAGGAGAGGAAGCCTTGCTGCAGCTGTAAGATATTCAAGCCTGTAAGATATTCAAGCCTGTACAGATAGGGCCTGATTTCCAGGCACTTTTCCACAGGGATGTTTTCCCCTCATTTTGACCTCGTTCACAACTCCCCCGTGTGCAGCCTCCGCTCACGCTGGTAACCATGGGGAAGAGTTTATCCGAGGTAAAACAGTCAAAGAGCCTGTGATACCAGGTCTAGGGCAAGCAGGAGAGAGCCGGGCACAGACAGCCCTGGGGGGCTGGAGACAGCGAGACAGAGATCAAGAGCAAAGAGCTCCAAAAACCTGGAGAGAAAACCTGCCGGAGGGAACAACCCAGCTCTGCTGGAGCAGGTGGATCCGACCTGGGCTCTGCTGGGGCTGAAAGAAAAGTGCTTTTGCAGGTGTCTGGCTGCAAGAGAAGTGCTTTTGCATGAGGCTGGCTGTGAGCAGAGGCTGGCTGAGGCAGGAGGGGCATTGTTGCTGTGTCTCTCCCCACGTCGAGGCGCTCAGCGCCTGCCTCTGCACTTGGCAGCTCCAGCAGCCTGGCTGGATGCAGCATCTCTCCCTGCACGGTGTCTCTGCAGCCCCAGGCCCTGGGCTGAGCTGTCGGGGGGATCCTCTGGGTCTCCCTCCGAGGGATGTGGAGGCTGGAGCAGCCCACAAACAGGGCTCGCTGTGCACACCCATCAGCACACAATGCCAAGGGAGGGGCTGTGTCTGCCTTTGACAGAGCCCAGCGCTGCTGAGGGGATGCCCCCTGTCTCCTTCCCAAGCTGCTCTCTGACCTTGGGCAAGGAATTATGCTTTGGGATTAACAGACAGGAGGCAGGGGGGGTGGCAGCCCTTTCCCCATCCCTGCTGGCTCAGGGCTTCCAGAGTGGCAGAGGTGATGATGTTGGTGACTCCAGTGGTGCAGCTGCCACCTGTATTTCCCCCCACAAAACCATGGCCTGTCCTGCTGGAGTGCATTCTTCCCATAAAAGTAATAATCTTTATATCCTAATCATATACACTGTTGAAAATCCTACAGCATTATTCCTGAAATCATCTTGGTGGCTCCTGGAGCGCCACTTCAGTTTGCAAGTGTGGGCAGTGATGCTCTGATTATTCCCTGAGGTCCAGTAAACTGTTGTCCCTGGTTCCCTTCCTGTGTCACATCTCTCCCCTGCTCCCATCAAAGACCCAGGAGGAGCTTGGAGGAGATGCTGGGGCACGTTTGTCTGTGGTGCTGGGTCCTGGTTCTGTGATCTGCAGGGAATCTGTGGCACTCACACAGATCCCTGCTGGTGTTCAAAAGGAAAAGTTGGAAGCTGGGGTAGGATTTCTGCCGGGGTAGTTTGTCCTTGCTGGGCTGGAGAAGAGACCATTGATAGTTTGAGGTTGCCTTTGAGTCTCTTTCTAGGCTATCAACCATGTCCGCTCTTCTCTTACCAGATGGTGCCCCACCATGCCAGGGGCTGTGCTTGGTCCCTTTGGTCTCCAGTCTTCTCCGTGGCTTTGCCCAGGGGGATGGATGTCCTACAAACTCATCCTTAGCTCGGGAGATGGTTGTGCTGTTGACCCTTGCCCAACACCAGATGACCCTGTAGATGACCCCTGGGCAGTGTCTGCTTCAGCTGGGAACCTCTGCTGTTCTCTGGGCCCTTGTCAGCATAACCTTGTGTTTAGAGCCCCATGGGCACTCCCAAACTCCTCTTCCCGAGCCTTTCCTCAGCCAGTGCTGCAGTTTCTTTGGTCTGCTGAGCTTTCTGTGATCTCTGAGTCAGGCAGGATGCAACAGCAGAGGAATCAGCCTAATAAGGAGATTATCTTGGCATCTGGCTCCATTCACAGCAGAGCCCACAGACAATGGCTGTTTCCAGCAGTGGGTTGGGATGAATGTCTGCAGACACAGGGGCGTTGCCAAACTGGCCCAGTGTCCCCATGTCCCTGTCCCCAGTGGTGGCCGCAGCGGGGAGTGTGGGAGGGGAGTATGAAGCTTCCAGCAATTAGGCAGGGCTGTCTCCTGGGGAGTTTCCTTTTGTCCTTGCTGAGGGCTGCCTCAAAGCCCGGGATTAGCTGGGCTTTTCCTGCCCTCTCTCCCTGCAGATGTTGCATTTATGGATGGATCTCTGCTCCACATTCTCCCAAGCTGAGACACGGAGTCACTGCTGGTCCCTTGGCTCTTCTTTTGGGGCAGGAGGGATGACAGTCCCTCCTTTTACTGGAATCCCTCCTTTTACTGGAATCCCTCCTTTTACTGAAATCCCCCCTTTGTTGGACCCCATCTTTCCAGGTTTCATGGCAGGGTGCAACAGGGCAGCCCAAAATCCCACTGAGAGATGTCACCCCTCCCAGGTAGGAACACGGGAGGAGCCCCAGCCCTGGTGAAGAGCCCCTGGAGACTCCTCTGTACCCTGGGTAACTCGTTCTACCGAGGCTTTGGCTTCACCAGTTGTTAATCCCAAGCTGTCTCCAAAGCCAGTTTTCATTGGGAAGGCATTAACAACGTTGGGTAAGAATGAGTTTCCAAGTGAGGTCACCAGTGGAGGCAGGGACCTCTCTGGATTATGAAGCCTGACTTCAAAGGCTTCTCCCCCTCCTTTTAAGGTTGAAAGGACTTATTTTATGAATAGGTCATGCCTGGTTTTAATGAGCTTGTTTTTGTATTTGGGATGTCTTATTAACAACTCGGTCACATGTGCTTTTATTTTTTCCCACCCTTGCAGAATTAGCAGGAAGGGAGGTGGAGGCACCTCTGCTTCCTCATAGCAAAGCCTTCCACTCATTTGCAGACGACTGCAAAAATGATTAAGCATTGAGAAAGCCGGGAGAAGCAATGATGAAATATCTTGTCCAGGGGATGAATCTTCCAGCTGGGCTGTGGGGAAGGGCTGCTGGAGAAGCAGGAAGTCCCAGGGGAGAAAAACTTCCTGGCTGGCACTGACGTGACAACTGATGGATCCCTCTGAGGGATGTGAGGAGCTCTGGAAGGCACCAAGGATGCTTGGCTGGCACTGTGCTAGGAAGGCTTAAAATATTTTGGGTTCCCACTTCAGGTTGTGCTGTGAGGAGATGGCTGAGGGACCGTGGCTGAGGCGTTTCTGCCTCGTCGCTGAAGCTTGCACTGTGTGAATGGTTTAGGTGTCCTTTTGCAGGGTTCTTGGTGGTATTGAGCTGTGGTTGGATTGCACTTGGGGAGGAAAGGCATCAAGGAGCCGCTGGTAGAGGTTATGGCACGGTTACCCATTAGCTGGTTCCTCTTCAAGAGGTCATTCCAGGGCTGAACTCCCTCTTGGTGCTGACAGGGACTCTCCCAGACACATGGCCCATCCCAGGGGCAGCTGAGGGCACGTAGTACCTCCCTTGGGAATGCTGGGCATGGCTGTGGTGTGAAGCCTGGTTCAGATGTCATGGTGTAAGTGTTCTTCTGGTGGGTTTGACTTGATTTAATCAAGGTTCTGCCTAACTGCTGTGGGCTCACCTGCTGGGGAACGGCTTTTGTGCTGTGCTGAAGCTGGGCATGGGCTCACCTACAGGATTTTGGGCTGATGGAGCCAACACACACCTTGGCTTTCCCACTGCATGATCCAGCACGGCCCCTCTCCATCACTGGCGGAGGATCCTCAGCTCCTGTGTGGGAGCGTCCCGGAGCAGTGCTGGGAGGAGGGAGGGCAGAGTTGGGGCAAGGAGGTGTGATATGGGAAATGACTCCGGTCCTACACCTTACTAATCCCAAGAGACTGCTCCTGCATGATTGGGCAAGACAGCCCTGCTGCTGGGGGATGGTTTTTGGGAGGTGTGTGAAGAGAGATGTCAAATCAGAGCTGATGCCTTGGCTGTGGGAACCCGTCACAGCTCCGGGCGAGGGTGTGGAGTCGGCTCGTCGTGCCTCTTCCTGCCCCTTCTGGCCTCATTCCCTTCTCCAAACAAGGTTTTTGTGAAGGTGCCCCAGCTGAGCGTGGGGATGGCTGAGCTCAGCTCTGGGTGGAGATGTGGTGGTGGCACTGCCACTGCCACTGTGCCTGGTCCTGTCCTGCTTTTGTTGGAGTAGGTGCCCCTGCTCCAAGGCTCTGCTTTCCATCTCATCTCCCCCAAACCACGGCAGCCCCCACGTGTGTACAATGATGGCTGGAGCTGCCTGCTCTGCTCCCTTGGGGCTGTGACACCCATCTGCAGCGGTGACATGGCCACCCACCTGAGACCCTCGGCTTCAGGAGTGTCCTCCTGGAATGATGTCAGACAAAGTTCCATGGAGACCTCACTGTGGCCTTCCAGTGCTTAAAGGGGCTTATAAAAATGAGGTAGAGTGACTTTTTATGTGGGCAGACAGTGATTGAACCAGGGGGAATGGTTTTAAATTAAAAGAGGGATGGTTGGATATCAGGGAGAAATCCTTCCCTGGGAGGGTGGGCAGGCCCTGGCACAGGTTGCCCAGAGAAGCTGTGGCTGCCCCATCCCTGGAAGTGTCCAAGGCCAGGTTGGACAGGGCTTGGAGCAACCTGGGCTAGTGGAAGGTGTCCCTGTCCCTGGCAGGGGGTTGGAATGAGATGAGCTTTAATGTCTCTTCCAACCCACACCATTCCAGGGTTCTGTGTCCTCCCTGAACCCACAGAGTTGAGTTGGCTGCTTCCCTGCTGTGCTGCTCTTGCAACAGCCCTTGGGTGGTGGATGTCACCTGTCCCAGACCTCCTGTTCCTTCTTCCACTCCCAGACAGACCTGTACTCTGGGGCCTTCTTTGTGCAAGTCTGCCTGGGCTGGGACCTCTCCCTCTCCACCGTGCTCGTGCTGGTGGTCACAGGGCTCTACACCATTGCAGGTGGGTTGCTCATCATCCACTGGCCTCAGTTGTTCTGCTTCTTTTATTGAGCCACACCACTTACCCCCTCCTGCTTTTATTTTGTTATTGTTGTTTTTGGAAGGTTTCCTGGGGTTTTTACCAGTGGGGTTCATATCCCTGCCCCAGCCAGCCAGTTATCTGAGCAGCCTTCTGGAGAGTCAGCTCAGGTGATGAGTCAGCCCATGACCTCTCCTTTGTCTTTACATCTTTTCATTTGTAATAACTCCTCCCCCACCATGTACTTAAACACTTTCTTGTGTGTGCACCTATTTGTAACAGCAATAATCAGGGCTTCTCCTGTTACAGGACTATTATTATGGAATCTACAACCCCGAGAGCCCTTTACTCAACTCCTTTCCCTCCTTCTTGCCCTGCCCTCAGTGCAACCTGCTGCCCTCTCTCCACAAAGCTTTTAGGAATATTTCTTGCCCCGTTGTGGGACCGGCTGTTTTTGTGCAGGGTCAACAAATAGGTTCCTTCTGTGATGCAGAGGTGATGAGGGTTTGGAGCTGGGAATCGTGGGTTCCTGGCTCCCAGCCCCACTCAGACCGTGGGACTGTGTGTCCCTGCCAGCCCTTGGGGTTATTATGTTTGCTGGGACATTCCCTGCCCTGGTAGTGCCAGTGGAGACACCCAGCAGTAAATTTTCCCTCCTTATCTCACCCCGGCCATCGAAAGGGGAAACGGTTTAAGTGTATCCACAACGGGGTGGATTTTGCAAGACTTGGGGTTTTAAGCAAATCCCGTCTCGGGGTTTTTCCTGCCCACGAGGCTTGTTGTGATGTGAGGCAGCTCAGTGTGAGCTCAGGCAGGTGTGATCATTGCATCACCCTGATCCTGAGAACATCCCTCCAATCCTGACTGTGCAGCTCTGAATTCCCAGGATGTGATTCAGTGACTGGGGTTGAAACCCGCTCCATTTTTGACCCATTTTCTTCAGCTCTGCTACTTTTTAATGCTTTTTCTCATGTGCTGAGTGATTGGTTTCTGGCTGGGTAAGCAGGTGCTGGGTGTGCTGCAGGTCTGGGGGGAAAGCTTGGGATGGGAAGGGAGAAATGCTGCTGGCTGTATGGCCAAGGGGCCCCACAAAGCACCATGTGCTGGAAAAAAAAACCCTGTAGGGCTTGGAGGAGAGCTGAGGGTGTACAAAGGAGAAACTGGTGTTAGACAGAGGTTGGTGAATGATGAGATCAATGTCCTGAGTCTGCTGCTGGAGCACCCAAAGAGCTGGGGCTGGCTGGCATCCTCCTGTTTGTGTGGAGATGTGGGGCTGCATCCCTCCTGCCATCCCTTGGCTTCTCTTCCCTGACTGTCCAGCAACCCCTTGGATCCCCTCCCTGTCCCTGGTGAGGCTGCAGCCCCTGTGGCTTTTGGCTGCTCCCCCCACCCCACCTTTGGGGGTGCTGTTCCCTCCTCGACACCGGAGCCACTGAGGAGCTGCTCCCCCTTCCCACTGCAGCCCCCCACCACCAGAGTGTCAGTAGGTTGAGGCTGGTGACAGGTACATCCCCGTGGGAAGCTTTATTAGGACATTCTGACTGTTCCAAGCTGGAATGTGGCAGTATTCCTGACCCCCTGCCTTGCTCTCGTGCAGGGGGCTGGCGGCACCCACGCGCTGCAGACGCTCATCGTGCTCCTGGGAGCCATCGTGCTGGCAGTGAGAGGTAAGAGCTGCTCTAGGGGACCCTCCCTCCTCACTCAGCGGGTCTTGGAGGTAAATAAAAACACTCAGTCTGAGCCATCTCTTGGACAAGATGCCCAGCAGGACTTCTGTCCATGGCAATCACCTCAATGAAGTCTGTGGGGCCCCTGTGTCCCCCCTGCTCCCCCCCTGTGCCATTCCTGCAGGTGCAGATGCCATGGAGAGTCCCCCTGGTGTCACCCCCAGCAGTGGTGACATTCCTGTGGACACGGTGGCTCCACGTTTGCCTCTCACTCTGAGGGGCTGATCAAGTGTTTGACAGCAAAGCAGAATTCCCAGTTGTGCTCCGGGTGTTTTGGTGGGGTCTTCAGACAGGATCCCGCTGCCTGGGGACGTGCACGGCAGAAGGTTGGTGCTGGAACAAGGCACGGCTGCAGGGGTGGGATGAGGAGCACGGTGCCGTGCCCTGCTCTCGCTTGGAGTGATTATAGCTCACCACCAGCCCTTCCTGAACCCCCAGCACTGTTGTGTCTCCCTAAATTCAGCCTCAGAGCATCCTTGCGAGGACGGGAGCTTTCATCAGCCGGTGTCTGCCATCGGGGCTCCTGGCCCTGGGGAGCAGGAAGCAAGAAGTTAAGTCCCAGCTTCAAAGGCAGGTGTTTAACTACAGAGGATGATTTCCAGAGGCGCTCCTGAGATGACTTCCACCATCTCCTGGAGAAGGCAGCTCAGGCAGGCAGGTAGGAAAGGCTTTGACCCCAGTGCTGGGGAGGTGGGAGCAGCCCCAGAGCCGTGACCAGCCTGGCTGCTCCCCTGTGCCAGAGCAGAGCTCGCCCCTGGGCGAGCCCTTGGACACAGCAAGGTGCATTTACAAGAAACAAATGAAAGGACAGAGACTTCCTGGAGAAGGGACAATAACACTTAACTACCCCAGCAGCAGCAGGGAGCTGCTCCAGGCAGCGGAGCTCGTTGCCTGTCGAGGCAGAGCAGAGCAGTGGCTGCAGCCTGTGCCTTAGACGTGGTGCCTGGATGTTGTGGAGCGTTGTCTGGAGCTGTCCTTGGCCGTGGGGCTCTCTGGGGCTTGTCTCTGCCAGGCTTGGCTGGTGCAGCTGCACGGAGCCAGAGGAGGAGGGCAGGTAGGCAAAGCCTGGAAAATCCCCTCTGGCAGCTGCAGAGCCCGGCTTGTTTTGGCTTTGCTACCTGCAAGCGTGGCACGGTGTGTGCAGGGGGGTGAGGGGGCTTGGCAGAGGGACTGAGCCAGGGGAGCCAGGAGAAGACAAGCTGCTGGTTGCACAGGTTTTTCCTCAGGTCTCAGGAGGCCTCAGGACCTGGAGGTGGGTGTGCCCCAAAGGTGTTCACTTTTCTCCAGCTTCTGTAAAGCTCAGCTAATAAAGGACACTCTCAATAGAATCATGGAATGGTTTGGGCTGGAAGGGACCTTAAGGCTCATCTTATTCCATCCCCTGCCATGGGCAGGGACACCTCCCACTAGCCCAGGTTGCTCCAAGCCCCTTCCAACCCTTCCAGGGATGGGGCAGCCACAGCTTCTCTGGGCAACCTGTGCCAGGGCCTCCCCACCCTCACAGGGAAGAGTTTTTTCACTTTGGTGAACAGAAACCTTGGCAGTGCCATTGGTGGCTCTGCTCAGCTCCGGCAGACTGTGCCATCCTGCCACCCAGCCTGGGAATGTTAATCCCAGCAGAGCCCATGGGCTGCATCCCGGCATCTGCAGGCTCAGCTCCCGCTGCCCGGAGGATTTTGCTCCGCTCTTCCTTCTTGGCAGGCGTAGGTGCCGTGACTCGCTGGTGAGCACCTCTGGGAAGGGAGCAGGCTCTCACCCCCGGGCACCAATCTCTGCTTTCAGCACTCGGCCTCTGCCTCTGGAGAGCCTTTGTTGGTGCCCAACGCCCATGCAAAGCTTGGGAGTAGCCGGCGCCTGGATAAACCAAGTGCTGGAGGGGGGCCAGGGCTGATTGTGTAAGAGCAGGAGGAGTTCCCAAACGCTGACTCCCTGTGAAACTCGGGAGGAGGGATTGCGAGGGGGGACACGGTGGGTGATGCCCCTTTGCCAGCTCCCCAAAAGCCTCAGGTCAGGGGGACACCCCGGGATGAGGACAGGGCTGTAGGCTGGTCATGGAAATGGGAGGACTGGAGAGGGAGGGCTGTCCTCTGGCAGGGGGGGACAATGGAGCAGGATGGGCGGCTTGGAAATCGGGATTTGTTCAAGCTGGCATTTGATGGTGATCCCAGTGCCCAGCACCTGATGCCTGAGGGGTTTGGTCTAAAGACAGCAGTGCTTGTGGGCACGGTCCTGTGGGAGGGAAACTGCTCAGGAGCACATTCCCACCTCCTGCTGCTGCACTGGAGGGGCCCAAGCTGAGGGTCTGGATCGTGTGGATGGAAGGGATGCAGGCTGTGACAGCTGGACCAGATTTGGAGAAACCCAGCTAGGGATGCTCATGGGTCTTGCTTTGAGTCTCCTCCTCTCCAAGAAACCTCCGGAGCCTCCTCCCTGCTGCCGAGCACCAGCAGCTGCCGTGGGTACGGGGGTGCCAGTGCCCCTCCTTGCCCATCTCCCCCAGGCTGCCGTGTGGGTGGCCGTGGTGTGCAGGGGCAGCAGGGCGGGTGCCTCCCCTCCCACCCTCCTCCGAAAAGTGATGCCTCTGGCTCCAAAATTCTCCCACTGGAGGTCCTGGGGGAGCTGCACTCATTCTGTGCCCCCCAGGAGCAGGGAGGTGGTGGGGGGCCAGGGCAGACCCAGGGCTGGTTGGCAGAGGCTGCAGGCAGGAGGAGCATCTGCCAAGGGCTCGGAGGCTCGCTTGCTAGGGCTTGTTCATGGCACAAACTCCTCATCAAGGCTCAGGCTCATACCCTGGATCCCATTCCTAGGAAAAATGCAGCTAAAAGGGTCTTTTTTTCCTTTTTTTTTTTTTCTTTTTTTTTTTTACTGCTTTCTGGAGGTTTGGGGGTGGGGGCACATGAGGGACGCTGGGGAAATGCTCAGAGGAGTACAAAATGTTTGGCTGGACACTTGTGCCAAGGCACCTTGAGCTGCAGTTTCTCGAGTCAAAGGCCACCTAATCTTGCATTTCAGTAGTCCTGGGAGAGGTTTCCCCTGCCCTGGGACCAGGGAGCTTTAATGAACAGGTTGCTTTTACAGTACAAGGTTGAAGGAGTTGGGTCCCTTGAGGAGACTTTGTCCCAGGACTCGGGTCACCCTCCAAAGGGAGGGTGGGCTGCAAAGGGACCTGCTGTGCAAAATGGTAATAGAAGAGTCTCTTAAATAACTAGAAGAAAACACGATCGCGGCCGAGCCCGCCCTGTCTGGGCAGTACTTTGGGGTTAACGAGCTGGTGAGCGTTCTGCCAGCTGATCCCACAGGCAGCTGGGTTTTACCCCGCTCTAACCACCTCTCCCCGTGGTGCTTTCCAGCTTTTAACGAGGTCAGAGGGTACCCCAGCCTGGAAGAGGCCTATCTAAGAGCGGTGCCGTCCAAGGTCGTTCCCAGCACTACCTGCCACCTGCCCAGAGCGGACGCCGTGCGCCTCTTCCAGATCCCGCTCTCTGGAGACCCGCCCTGCACCGTGATGACCCTCGAGCTGTCCGTCGTGGCCACGTGGTACAGGTGCACCGACCAGGTAAATGTAAACGAGAACCCCCCGCCCCCCTGGGCTCCAGGCACCGCTCCACCACCGCAGGGACCACCTTCCCCAGCCCCTAGTGCTCCTGCTGGCCCGTGCTCTCAGGGGGCTGCTTCTTGGAGTCTGTGGTAGCACCCGGCGCTCCCGCGACCCTGTTCTTGAGGTGCTTGGACTGGGACAGTTTGCAGAGCGGGATGCCCAGGGGCGTCCTCATCTCCTCGCTCGTCTTCTGGCTCTCGGGCAGGGAGGGGAAGCGCTTGCCCGACGCTCTGGGGTGGCTGGGGGAGAGGTGGCCGGGCGCCGTGGGCTTGCTGGGGCCGAAGGCTTTGCTCTGCCAGTAGGGCTGGCTGCCTGCAATGGTCTGTTTGGGTTCTGCTCCGTCCAGTGTGTACTTGGTGGCCCCGAGGGGCTTCTCGTGCGTGGGGGAGCAGGAGACCTCCTTGCCCTGCTCTCTGCCCGCGGGGGTCCTGGGTCGGTAGCGATAGATGTGCGTCCCCTGTGTGTGACAGAGCAGAGGAAGAGGTGAGCTGTGGCTGTTGTGAGGGTGCTGCTCCCTGCAAGGGCGCCTCTGTGGCGTGGGCTTGGTCCTCATGGACAAATCCCTCTGGCACTTGGCGTACTCCCTTTCCCAAATTCTTCTCAGCAGCTCAAAACTACCTCAAGTCTTAACCGTGGCTGCTGCTCTGATTTCTTACTGTGGTAACACACAGTCCTGCACACGCAGTGCTTCAGCAGCCACTTCCCAAGCAGCCTGGAGGCTGTCCCGAGCCAAGTGCCTGCTGCCTGGAGATCCAGGATAAGGCACCTCAACACCTTCTCTCCAGCAGCAGCCTCAGCACCCGCCTTAATCATCTAAGCCCTCATATCAGGCACAGAGAGCATCCAGTCATCCAGACCCGAGCTGTGGGATTAGGTGACTGCCAAGATCAGATGAAAGGATGGAGGGCTGGGAGAGGAGGTGGGATGGGGAGACAACAGTGAGCTGCAACAGCGCTGTGGGGGCGGCTCTGATTAGCTGGGTTGAGACACACGTTTGGATCAGGTCTGAGCACCACTAATCTCAGTTCTGGACTGGGTAAGGCCGTAACACACGGCTGTGGTCACCAGATAGTTATCTCCTCTTTGGGTGTGCCTGCACCGCGACCGGGAGGTGTGACTGCAGATGCACCAGGCGAGATGGGATCTGGGGAGTGCAGGTGCTGATGGCAGGACGAGCTGGGGCCAGGAGGCTGCAGAGCTGGCTGTGCCAACCTGCCCAGCCTCTGCCATGGCCCTCGCTGTGCTGCCAGTGCCACATCTCCACCGAGCTGCTGGCATCAGCTCGGGGCTCAGCCACTTAGTCCCAGCATCCCAAAGGCCTCTTTGGTCCTGGAGCAGAAACTTCCTGTGTTGACCATGAGGGCTGTGTTAAAGCAGGTTATCTTAGGTAGTTTTAGATTGGTTTTATTAGATGTTTAAATTCAGTATTAAGGTCTGAGATGGCTTCAGGTGGGAAGGACTAAGGGTGATTTAGCTGCTACCCCTCTGAGCTCATCATGTACCTGACGTGGTGCACATAATGCCTGAGCTTGGGTGGTGGGTCCTGCAGCTCCTGACATGCTCTGGCTCTTGGAAAGAAGTTAAACCATGGCTTCCCCAAATATCCCACCCTAGGATTTGGCACCCCATCTCTCCCATCCAGGGGGAAAATGAGCCAGTGCTTGCTCAGGAGGGGCTGAATCTTGCTGGGTGCTGAGAATTCTCTGTAAGTCTTTGGGGAGACCCCGAGCTCTTTTAAATCAGCATTTCCTACAGATGTTGCCTATTTAGAAGGGATTGCCTCAGAACCCCAGGGCTGGCTGTGTTGTGGATGGATATGGCTTGGCCAGGGCTTTGAGGTGTGATGGTCTGAGCAGTGGAATTGTGGGAGGAGGAGGCTGGACTTGGTTTCCTTGTCATTGTGGGCACTCTTTGGGGAGAAGATTGAATAGAAGGGGCAAGAGTGGGGAGGATAGTGGTGAGGAATGGTTGATACTGTCAGGAGGACATGCTGCTGGGGTTGCACTGGGCTTCTGTGGTGCTGTGGTGTAACAACAGCCCGTCACTGGTCTGGAGAGAAGCCCCGCTGTGGGTTGGGAACACATCTATGCTGCACTTGGGAGCTGCACTTGGGCCCTGTGCCCAGTGGCTCCAACATTTGGGATGCAGTTTGGCAAGGAGGAGGCCGCTGTGGAACAGGTGTTGGTGCTGCTCATCCCTCCTGCCTGGCCCTCCACAGGTCATCGTCCAGCGCTCGCTCTCTGCCAAGAGCCTGAGTCACGCCAAGGCTGGCTCTGTCCTGGCCAGCTACCTGAAGATGCTGCCCCTGTTTGTCATCATCATGCCAGGGATGATCAGCAGGGTCCTGTACCCAGGTAAGAGCCTCCCAGGCAGCTGTGGAGCTGGTGGGATGGGGATTTTCCCTGTTGCTAAGGGATGAATGGGAGGGGACTTGTCTGGAAACCTTTGCTCTGCACAGACCTGGGGGCTCTGTTTTTGCACATGGGAGAAACTCTTCCCTGCACATCTCCAGCAGCTGAGCGCTGGCTTTCCTAACCCTGATGCTGTGTTAATTATCTGCCTCTCATCAAAGGGCCAGAACAAGTTCCTGCAGGAACACCAGCGTACCCGGCCACCCCGAGCAGGGTGGCACCTGGGACCTGGGTCACAGCATCAAAGGGCTCTGTGCTCCTTGCCCTGCAGGACCAGGGGGTATTTGATGTGTGAGGATTAAAGCTCTGAGCTCCCTGCCACTGGCTGGGAAGGCAGAAGCAAGTGGACTCTGGGATAGTAAATTTAATTCCCTGTAAATACAGATTAGATGCTCAGCCAGGGTACCCTCAGGCAGTTTCAGTGACTTCAGCTGCAGATTTAGCCCTGGGGGTTTGGATGCCCCAAAAACAGCGGGCGGGGAGCCTTGAGAAGCTGAAATGCTTGGCAGTGGTGCAAGAGGCTGCAGTGCTTGGGGGGAAACAGGGGATTGCCCCTGTGATTCCCCTGCCTGGAGAGGGTGATGCTGCAAGCCCTGGTGGGGATGCTGCTGTGCACCCCGTGCTCCAGCAGCGGGATTCTGGAGTGCACCCTGTGGAATTGCAGCACCCGTGCGGTGACAGGGTCTGGCGTCACCGGTGGATCAGCCACAAAGCTGCTGACTGTGGCACTCGCCCACAGAGGTTGCCGTCCCTGTTTCTCCGCTGTCTTGCTCTGCCTAATTATGTGTCCGAGCGCTTTTCCTTTGATGCTAATCGCCCTGGCAGGGTGCTGGAAAACAAGCCTGAGAAGGACACGCCTGCACGCACAGTCTGTCCCTGGCTGGGCATGGTGCTGTGGATGGGGCTCAGCGTGTCCAGGCACATCTGTACAGCTGTGCCCGGAGCCGCTCGGCTCCATCCCCATCCCCAGCGCTGTGGGATAGTCTTTAATTCCCAAAAACCTCTCCTTTACCAGGCTGTTCCCATTGCTAGACACCAAGACCTGTGGCACAGCCACCACCTTCCCAACCAGGAGCAGGTCTTGGGTAACTCCTACCCTTGCCACGTGCATGGTGTTATTCTGTATGGGAGGCCTGATCTTGGCATCTGGGACCTGACACCAAAGCTCGGGATGACACCACGCCTCGGCTCAGCTGGCTGGGTCACCTCTGGGTTTGCAGCCTTTGCAGGGTGGAGAAACACAAGGTCGTAGCAAAAAGTCCTACCTGGGTGGCACCGCTGGGGTAGGAGCTGTTGCCGTCCAGGATGGCGCGGGGCAGCACGCGCCTGATCTCCACGGCGTTGCTCCTCCTCTTCGCCACGTCCTCCACGCGGACGTGCTTCAGGGACGGGAGGCTGCCCAGGGGGCTGAGGAAGGTGCCCCGGCTGATGTGGGGGTCACTGAGCTTCCTCTGCACGGGAAGGATCTCCCCGTTGTGGGTGACGTCCGAGTTGGTTCTCCGGAGCGGCCCGTAGCGATCCCTCACCTCGAAGTACTCGTCTGAGATGGAGGAGGCGTTGGAGCGGCGGTAGCTGTGGTCGGCAGAGCTGCTGGAGTAGCTCTCCTGGTCACTGAGAGTGATGTACTCCTCTTCCTCCTCCTCCTCCTCTTCTCCCAGCCCGTTGTGGGAGCAGGGAGGCCCCTTGTCCTCCTGTGGCCCTGCCACGAGCCGGTCTGGCTGGAGGTGGGAGGTCTCCGTGGAAGCTCCGTTGGGTTTCTCCTCCCGCTCCTGCTTCACACCCGCGTGGTCGGCCAGGGGTGTCTGCGTGTCACCCTCCAGGGCAGTGCTGCTGTCACAGGTTGTAATGACTTTGGTCACGAGGACACCAACGGGGACGGTCCTCGGCTTTGGAACTGGTGGTTTGATGGCCTCCAGTGTCTCCTCCTGCGGCTTCAAGTGGTGGCCCAACGGTGAAGAGGCAAACGTTCCTGCTTGCTTCGTTGTCCAGCTGGTGCCTTCTATGTAGCTGGTAATGGGGGCTGTAGGGGCTTCCCTGGGGGGCTGTGGGATCTGTCTTTGGCAGGGGGGCAGCAGAGGTGGCTCTTGGTCTGAGTTTTTCTTGGCCTCCATCTCCCTGTTCTTCAGCATCTGCCGGTGCTGGGCGCTGGCCTGGGAGACGTCGCAGACTTTGATGCGGTTCATCTGCGAGAGCTTCACGTTCTTGATCTTGGGGTCAATAATGTTGATGTAGCCCAAGACTTCGCTCCCAGGCTCGGGGTCAGGCTCCACCCAGGTGGGCAGGTAGTCAAACATGTTGGCTTTCTCCAGATTCAGGAGGCCGGGGTGGATGAGTGGGGAGAGGTCTGCCACGTCCCCGTGCCGGTCGCCCCCCTGGCCCTCGGGCACGGCTTTGCCTTTGTTGTCTGCCTTCTGGTTTTTGTCCTGGTTCTCAGACGAAGTCTTGCTGATCTGGTCAGCGCTCTTGGCCTTCACCAGGGCGTATTTAGGGTTTATCAGCTTCTTCACCACGGCGTTGGCGGGCGTCACCGGCACGACCGAGGGCAGCGTTACGGGCTCGGGTTCGGGCTCTTCACCCATGGAGATGGACTTGAGGCTCACCCCCTTGGACATGAGGTAGAGCTCCTGGAACTGCTTGTCAAAAGCCTCCACCACTTGGCCCGAGAGGACTGTGATGACATTTCGGTCCGTCCTGGCTGCAGACCAGGTGAAGCTGGAACAGAAACACGTTGGAAACTGTCTGAGCACTCTCTGGTAAATAGCTCTCCTCTCCCCAACCCTGGCATTCCCTGGGGGATTGATGGTGCCAGCAGGGACATGATCTCACTGTAAACATTAATAATAATAATAACAGGATAGCCCTCATCACAAATTAGAGTGAAGGGCTGAAGTCTTGACCACAGTGGACTTGAAGTAAAAGGTATTTGCAGTAGGTCAGTCTTTCACTTTAGTGTTGGCTGCTTTTCCTTTCTCAGATTGGGCTAGTTAAGAAAAGCAACTCATAAATGGATGTGTTATTTGTTGTGGCCAGAAAGTAGGAAATGTTTCAGCTCCGTGTTTATAAAACTTATCTTTTAGAGCTGAGAAGCTGACTGGGGGTGATCTGTTTCTACCAAAGTGAGTTTTCTTTTGGACAAAATGGAAAATACTTTGGGTTGGAAATATTTAACTGGAAAAGCTGAGGTTTGTGTGAGAGTTGGGACTGGCTGTGGTGTGGTTTGGTGCTTTGGTCTTTCCTTGTGCTCACTGCATCCAGTGGCAGAAGCAATTGGTGTGTCCCACCACCTCTGAGAATGGCAGGTGTCCTCGACCTGTTGGTTTTGGGAGGTGGCGGGGACTCCTTGGGGCCCGTTCCAAATCTCCTTGCAAAGTCATCTCCCAGTTTAGGAGAAGAGGAGCAAGTCTGGGACGGGGTCCTGGGGCTGTGCTGGGCAGGCACCAGGATTTAGGCCATGTGGGTTTGTGACAATCCTTTGACCAACACCTCCGTGGGGCGGGCAAAAGGGCAGGAGGAGGCTGCTGATTACCTGTAGGATCCACACATGGCTCGATCCCCGTCCACGAACATGAACTTCTGGGCCAAAGCCCCTTTGAACTTGGTGGCCGAGCGCGTGAAGAACTCCGTACCCCCCGTGCTGCGGACGCGCAGGTTCTGCAGAGCAAAGGCAGGGCCGTGAGCAGGAGCAAAGGGCTGCTCTGAGAGCATCGTCCACCCCTCCATCAACGCCCCCCTGGGTGCTCCACCGCCCCTCCAAGGTGCAGAACGCTCTTCACGGGCGGCTCAGAGGAGGCCACAGCGACGGGGAGATAAAATAACTCTGGACTCGGCCTGGAGAATTTCCTGCTTTGCCCACGTGCTGGGCCGTGTTTTCCACCTCCTGAATTCCGTGCTGCCTGTGTCCATGGGTGAGCAGTGTGTGCTGGTGCTGCCAAGCACTCTCCATCCCCTGTGATCTGTGCAAATGCCACCCCGGGACAGGAGATCCCACTCCTCCTCCCCAGTGGGAGATGTGCAGGGGCTTTACATTCCCTTTCCTGTGCTCCCCAAATCTGAGTGGTTCGTCCTGGTTTTAGGGGTGAGTGGGGGGGAAAAAAAGGCAGTGGGGCAACATCTTTTCACCCCCAGGAAGTGAAACTCGGTGATGTGGGAGCAGGTCCCTGTGGAGGGGAGTGGGGTGTCCTCCCCCAGGGAGCCCAGGGACAGATGGGCAGCCCTGGCTGGCTGTGTCAAAATACTTCTCTATCTCCAGTCTGGCTTCTGGCTCCAGCGTCTCTGTGGAGGGCACTGCCACATTCCACAGTTACCAGATAGCATCTCCCACAGCAAATGGGCTCCCTTGGGTGGGGAGCAAATATTTTCTTATGAAAACACCTGCATTCCTCCTGTTCCTGCTGGGACGTTGGTCACGACATTGCTAGAGGCTCAGTGTCATCACTGGGTCATGCCCTCTATGGCTGGTTTATTGTGTGCTTTTCGTTTTGTTTTTGGGTTTGCGTTTTTTTTGTTGTTTTTTATAAAGAAAAGCACCAGAAATATTTGCCTTCCCCTCCTCCAGCCTTTCTCATCTGCTTTCCTGGGCTCTCCTCTCTGTCTGTAGACCACAATCAGGAACAGCCCAGGGGCTCTCCCACTCCCCCATGCCTGGCAGGAGGGACAGTGATTCAGCGTTGATTTTAGCATGATGTGAAAGCAAAGGCTTTTCTGGCCGTGTTTCCAGGGCAGATTCACGGACTGAGCAGAGAAGTTTGTGGGGTTTTTGGTTGCATTTGTTTTTTTTCTTAACATTTTTGCCTTTTTGCCTGGTGTGTCTGGGGGGATGTGGGTGCTGAGCATCCCAGTTCCTGTGGGTGTGCAGCAGCACTGGTGGTGCTGGGGGCTGGCTGGAAAGCAGGCTGGGCTAGGAATTCTTATCCCTATCCTGTGTTATCCCTACACGTGGTGCT